TCTCAAATAAAAGATTAAAAAATAACAAAAATAAATTTTTATATCAAATTTAAATTGAAAAAATATCGAGAAATAAAAAATATATACTATGTGAAGTTGAGGATTAACGTAAACTTTTTGTGAAAATTTTAAAATCTTTGCTCATTTATGATGTCTTTTCCACTTTAATTTCTTATCTTTTAATTTTGATTTATAATTGTTCTTTAATTTGACTTAGAAAGGATAAAATCATGCCAAAAAAAAATTAAGGATCAAAATTAAAAATTTAAAAAATTTAAACCACAAGTTTGTAATAAAATGAGAGACAGTGAATATTACATGCATGTACATTAAAAAAAAACCTGCATCTTTATGTGTTTTTTATAATGAGTTTAAGGTAGCTTAATTTTTCATAATTGATATTTTTCCATGCATAAATTTTTTTATGAGTTAATTCCCTTCACCACCCTCTATTCTAGTATCCTTATGCCCAGCTCTCTCTATTTTGAAAACTTTGCACTTTCTACCTCTTATTTTTCTCGTGATAACACTTTCGACCCTCCGTTAGAAGTTTATTATGCTAAACATTCGAATCACTTAACCCCATTCGACTTTGATGTGATCAGTGGAACAAATCAAGCAAAATGTGTTTCTTCCTTTCGTAACTAAGCATGTTTTTTGTTTTAATTTATTTCATGATTTATTACAAAAAAACATTGATGAATTAATGACATGGATTATTTTTTTAAATGCTTTTCGTTTTAAAAAGGGTGTTTAATTTATTAAATAAGAGTGCAATATTTGCCTATAGCTTCTTTTGAAACATTAGTGTTTTTGGATTTTTTTCTAAAAAAATAGATGAAAAAATTATCTCTGTGATGTTCAAAATAGAAGGTGATGGGGTAACATATATATAAAGATAGTATGTATGTCACTCACACGTGAGCATGGATTGTAGAATGTAGTTTTGATTGGGTTTTTGTGAGGTGGTTCTCCTTGTAGTTGATAAGGTGGAGCTGACAAGGATCAATAACTCAGATTAATATACAAAATAATTGTGGGCAAGCTAATATGCTTAATTAGTGTGACAACAGACACGGCAACGTGTATATATATATATATAGTTAGTCTAAGCCTTCAAGAGCAACGCGAATTATAGAATTTTTTATGAATCATGGAGCCATCATCATTATCAGAAACATCTAATTAATTAATCACTAATTAATAAATAAATTATTTAATTAGTGCTTTAGACTAATCAATCTATTTCCAAGACAAGCTCCTCGCTAGCTAGATTGGACTTTAAGAAGAGATTACCTTTTGAAGATCCATCTGGCAATCTTTAATTTATCCTCCATTTTCTTTTCTAGTTTCACCTAATTTAATTGACCGTGTGTATACCAACCACACTTTGGAGCAATTATATACTGTATTTCTATGTACATTGCCATAAAACTAGGGGTAGGTAAGAATATGGCGGGTTAGCATGTATAGATTTGGAGTACAAGGAATGGAAACAACTTGAAGAAGGAATCTCTACTTTGTCTAGGAAGAAATTAGCGTCAACTTTTCTAATCTACGTTCGTTCTAACTTTAGTGATGATGGCTGAGTGGATTAGTTTATGTCAAAGGCATCGTGTTTGATTTTGAAAACTTACTTTACTAGTTGAAAGTGTAGAATTTAGCTGAAGTTAGATCCCAATATGCTTGTCTTGCTTTAACTTTAATTATTCCAAATGGACGCATCGGAAGTGCTCATCAATGGTGAGTACTGATACTCATTTTTACGTTTAATGTTGTTTTCAGCCGTAAATTCTCCCTTGACCAATCCTTGTTGGCCTCCATTAATAAGAGATCAAGTTTTTCAATCAATGCTTTTGACGGTAAATTCATTTAGTTCTAGAAACAACAACGACCCTTTGAATTCAAACTCTTTGTTGAAAATGATGAGCGGATAACTGTGAAACCGGTTTGAATTGTTACTGCTGGTGCTGCATATATGGTTTTGTTTTTGTTTTATATGAACATTATTTCCCAGGACACTTATAGAACTACCCTCGTAAATATTATCAATAATAACTCGAGAAGGAGCTGCCGGGAAATGGAACAGAGAATCATTGCTAGAAACAAGTGCACATAGTGTTTATTCTGTTGAGCAAGATGATAATTTCCTCTTTTTTAATCAGAGTCATAATTGTATTAGACCACTAAACATGCCACCAAACCACCATGGAATTAATGATTGACAATTACTGAGGGTCCTCCAGGATATATAGTGGATCAGAAGTTACTTTCACTGCTGAAGTTCTTATTCTTTCCATTACTCGCCCAAAATCTCCATTCCTCTCATGCTTGAAAAGACAGTATGGTGATATGGTCTTCTTTTCTACATCATCTAAGCCTGCCGTTACTTCTTGATGAAAAGCATCTGTTACCATATATATATGCATTTCTATGCAGATAATTACGTTAAGGTAAAATGTAATAATAATCAGATTAAATTGAGATATCTCTCTATCCCAGTAGAATAGATGGATTGATTAAAAATTAAAAATTAAAAATTAAAAATTCTCTTATTGTAAGGTGCTTTGGATAATGAGAATTGTTGATCAGGGATGGCAAACAGCCCAAGTCGGGGAAAAAGATCCCAGAAATCTTATATTAGATATTATATCAATTCACACACATTGTTCTTTGAGCAGAAAAATATATGAACTTAATTGTTTTTTTAAAAAAAGATATAGTAGTAAAAATATATACTCAAATCTTTTGATAAAACATATATATTTTAAGGTATCTAATTAAGAAAAAAAAACTATTTTTTGGAATAAAGGGAATAGGATTTAGCAGTTACCAGGCGCATATCATATACATGTTGGGAAGTTGGGAGGCACGAAATCTCGCTCCAAACTTGATAGATTTGTCTTAAGAAGCAAATTCTAGATTGGTTTTAAAAGAATATAAAAACCATGGTTCCTTTGCTTATTAATGGGGTCATGACACCTCAATGAATTCTAATCTCTCAACTCAAATTTTCCAACCAATCAGCCCATGGCTTCCTCTCTTCGCAACCATGATGAACAATAACATGGAACCTCCTAACTTTTCCCTTGAGTGAATTCAAAATGTTCTTTGCCAAGTACTTCATTATAAAATTTGAAGTGCTTGTTATTAAGAGGGAAACAAATTTAGATTCTAGCCAAGACCAGGGGAGAAGAAGATCCAAAAATAAAAATGTGAACTAGTGTTCGCATTATATGAGGATAATCACCCCCCCCTTTAATTACCACAGCATAGTTGTTTTTTTTTTAATTTTTTATTAACATCATTATCCTTGAATTGTATAAAAAAAGGTTTAATAAATTTGTATTTTCCTTCTTGCCATTTTCTTTCTCCTGCAAAAAAAAACAAGTGCTAAAGATGAGTTGTTCTCCTCGAAGAAGGTAGCCAGTTGACAGGGCGTGGTCGGAGGTTCTTATTTTCTTGGTCAAGGTTGTAATCGAAAGGGTAAGATATCAGGCAAGGAAGACATTATTTCATGGTTCCTCTGCTACTCCCTCAAAGCGGTAAACAATGTTATGACTCCATCAGGATGTAGTCCATTTTGATAATGCGATAGATTCCTGAAATGGACTCCTTATATTAACCAATTCTTTTAACCAATTCTTTTATTTTTAAATTAATGTGGGTATTCGGGTCAGTTTGCGTATACTACAACTAATCATACAAGTCTTGAAATTAACAATCATGTAACCCTCTAGTAACCATTATATAAACAATTAAGGATTCAAATATAAAATTATAGAAAAAACAAATTTTTTAATTCTAAATTTTTACCATTTAGCCATAATGGTTATATTAACCAAGAATGGTTATATTAACCAATTCTTGATTTGTCATCATGTGGGGTTTTGATTTATTGGTGTTTTTTTTATGAAAAGAACTTTTACTTCCAAGACCCCTTCCATTTCTCTCCGTTGTGCACCTATTGCTTGATATTGATAGCATGAGATTCCAAACTTCTCTTGATATGTTCATCATTAATTTCTTCTCTCTCTCTTTTATTCTATGGTGGTGGAGGAAGTTGGAGAAACTAAAGAAAATGATGGCTGACATGATATATCTTTAATACAAACACCATGAAAGATGACATAAAGTTTGTTTATGCCAAATAAATAATTGCTACAAAAGATTATGATGGCATAGTTAAAACACTTTCAACTACGATATAAAAAAGTTTAGAAATACATTGCTTTGGAGACTACAAATTAGTATAGTAATATAAAGTAAATAATATAATCATGCTACCCACTAAAACTATATTATATGTGTGTGTGTGTATATACATGGCTTGTAAATGTGTGTAAAATTTTAAATTCTGGAAATCATTCTGGCCGCCCATTGTAAATCGATAGCTAGCATAAAGCACTGTACGTGCATCATGATTCAATGTGCAAGATTATACATTGCACGATCCTAGCTGGTGCAGGAATACATGGGGATCAAGGTTCAAGAATTTGAGAGAGGTCAAGTGTGAGACAGACGCACAAATACATTTGGAAACTTAAAAAATTAGCTGGTTTTTGGGGGAGAAGCGAAAAGAAACCGAAAAAAATAAAAAGGAAAGAGAGGATTTTCTAAAGAGAACAAAAAACTAACATAGAACTGGGAAGGAAAAGTGATTGCTTGTACATGATAAAGATCAAAGAGACTGAAGAAAGAAGTAAGGAGAAAAAGAGAAAGGAAGAAAATCCCTGAAAAACAGAAAGGGGTAAGTTTTAGCTATCAGTGAAAGAAGACGGAAGTCTCTATTGGTACATTTGTCATGAAATGATCAGGACAGGTTTTTGGTGCCATGAGACTCTCTTTCTGTCACAAACTCTGTGAGCTCCTCCTGATTTATCCATTTATTTATTATTTCCAGAAAAAACAAGATAGACCAATCAATACCAATTAGTACGTGCGCACAACAAAACTCAGTGGTTTTTATATTACATGTATCATTGGTAATTAATAATCTTGTTATTTTTTAAAAAATAAAACAAAAACATTTTGGGATAGATTAGATGTAATGGAATGGAAGTACGGAGGAGAGACAGGAGAGGATCTAGCATTTGAGAGATTCTCTCATTTATATAAAATATATAAAGGAGAATAGCAGACGCAGAAGAGGAAGAAGAAGAAGTTGTAACAGACAAAATTTCTTTTGTTTTTTCTGTCTAAAGTTATCCGTTTACGTTGTGTACGTGTGTTTTGTCACGATCATTACATACACGTGGAAACCCACAAGGTAATATTGGTTCTCTTCTAGTTCTTTTCTACTTCAGCTACAACTTCTTCTTCTTGTGCGTCTACAGCTCTTCTTTTTATTATTATATATATGTATACACAGAGAGAGAATAGAGGCTGACATGCATATTAATAATCTCGTGTTTGTGTCGATATATACCCGTCATCATCACCATCTTCCATTTTCGTTTCTTTCTCTCTTTCTCCTTCTTCCTTGTAAGCACTTGTTTCCATGTATTATTGCGGAAGTCCTTTTCTTTTTCTTTTTCCTTTCCTTTCTTTTCATTTATTTTGAGAAATCCGTATGCGTGTTTGTGTTGCTTTGGTTTATTGGTGTAATGGGGCGTGATATAATTTTTTAATGGTTTTTCCGATCTGGGTTTGGTTAATTTTTTAGAAATCTCTCTGTTTAACGTATCTTCCTTTTATTTTTCTGGCACTGTTTTTGAATTATAATGATCTTGCCATTTATAGTTGGATTTCCATTTTATAGTTGTCAATTTGGACTGAATGTATCAAGTGATTTTTCTTGCTTGCTGTTTATATGAGAATTTTTCTGTTTCATGAATTTCGTATTGGATGAGTTGCCAATAAACTGCGACACTTGGTAGATATTTGACGTTATGGTTCTCTCTCTGTTTTTGCTTTAATTGTTGCCACTATGCTGTTTATGTTTTGTTGCTCCTTTGACCATAAATTTGTTTCCTGGTGTTCATTTGTTAAATATGTTGATGATAGAGTTGTTAAACTTGTTGTGTAGGATGGCTTATTCTAGGGTTCATAAAGATAGAGGAGAGTTGAGGATTCATGAGAATTTGGATGAGCTTGGCACTGATTTGGCAGAATATATTGCTGAATTATCAGAGGCATCGGTGAAGGAGAGGGGTGTCTTTGCCATTGCCATATCTGGTGGTTCTCTCATTGGCTTGATGGGGTATTTATGCAATTTCATTTCATGTTTCCTCATTTTTTGGTTTTATGATGTTTGTGTGTTTGTTTAAATTTCTGGTGGATAACAGGAAACTTCGTGAAGCTCCTTATCACAAGACTGTAGACTGGGCTAAATGGTATATATTTTGGGCGGATGAACGTGTGGTGGGGAAAACTCATGCTGATAGCAATTATAAGCTTGCGAAGGATGGTCTTTTGTCCAAGGTTTGTGCCGTTGTTAGTTTCTTATATATACATATATAACTTTCCTTTTTCTACAAGCATGCTGTTATCACTTACCAGTTTCCAAAAAGACGGAAGGAAATTGAACTGAAGTATTTTAAAGTGGCTGCCTTGGTCAAGCATTTGCTGCATCTTGATTTCTTTTTGTTCACCAAATAATCAAGTACCAATTCTTCTGTTTTCGTGTTAAATCGGCAAATGCATTGGTTTTAACGTGATGCCATTGTTAGTATATCCACCTCCCAAATCTTGTCTTGATTCCATGCAATGCTTAGGTTTTCCTGTTTTGGGTGGGTAATTGGCATTTATAATTGATGCCAAGTCTCTCACGAAACCACCTCATCTAGTGATTAGCTGACTGTAGACTTCTGGTGTTGTGATATTGCATTGAATAAAGAGTACTATGAGCTTCATGTTTCCATTTTGTGTTGTTGCATGCATTTTCATTTTTGAGTCTATTTTAATTCTTCTACAATGTCTGTCTTCTTTTCAAAATCTGTGGCAAACCACTGCTATCATCCAATATCAACATTTTTGCAGTTCAATGAATTTTGCAGCTAAAAAAGATGTCTTAGGAATTGGGCTTCTATATTGCTGATTCTTTTGTCCATTTCTACTACAAACACCTTAAATAACGGGATAATTTTGAGTTTCACATGGCACTAACCTCTGTCAAAGGCAGTTTCTGTGTATTTGTTGTTCATCTGCTCATTCGTTCATGATCTTCTCTTTTGTTATAAATGGACTATTTTTATACACTTCTACTCTGCACAACTCAATATAGCTGAAAATGCCACCTACTTTGGATTGGCTTTTTAAAATCGATCTTTTTTTTCCTTTTGTACTATGTAGACCAATATTCCAGAGTAGATCTTTGACAATCATCTTCCATTTCCACCCCAGCCACTCTTCTTTCTGTCTATTTCAATCCACCTTCTTAAGCAGCTTCTTTCATCTTGTATTTCAACAGATTCTGTTCAATGTAGTTGACATGGCAGAAATATTGATAATTTTAGAACAAAGGCCTTATTCAAGGTGTTCTCTTTGTGAACACCACTGCAGGCTTTTTCGGGCTTCACATTCCTTGTTGCGAAGGGTGGTTGTGAAAATTACCCTACTGGTACTAATATGAAATAAGAGTTGCATGAATATGAGCATTAAATAAAAATGAGATCAGAAAGTTGATGTTTGTCTCTATATTGTGTGGTTATGCTTTGACATCACATACGTTCTTATCATCGCATGTATGTTATGCTAGCAGGTGCCCGTGGTACCCAGTCATGTGAATTCTATCAACGATTCAGTGTCAGCAGAGGAGGCTGCTGATGACTATGAGTTTCATATTCGACAGTTGGTGAAAACACGGACAATTAATGTGTCTGATAATAGTGACTGCCCCAAGTTTGACCTCATCCTTCTTGGAATGGGTCCTGATGGTCATGTTGCTTCGCTATTCCCTGACCACCCTATGCTTGACGAGAAATCTGAGTGGGTAACTTTTATTACCGACTCCCCCAAACCCCCACCGGAGAGGATCACATTCACTTTGCCTGTCATCAACTCAGCATCCAATGTGGCCGTGGTTGTGACAGGTGAGACCAAAGCAGAGGCTGTACACTTGGCAATTGATGATGTAGGGTCAGACTACCTGTCATTGCCTGCACGGTTGGTACAGCCAACAAAAGGGAAGCTGGTGTGGTTTTTGGACAAGCCAGCTGCCTCAAAACTTGACGGTTCTCAATTTTCTGAGTAGAGCCAAGCTGTTACTGCCGATATGTATGTTTGTGTGTGCAGTGGACGGACTCAACACCCGTGGATCCTTTTCTTTCTGTTAGCGGCCCCCCGCGTTCTCCCTCTTCTTTTCCCTTTTCTCTCGTTTGCTTTGGGTTAGATTCTCCATTTTATCCCCTCTTCTTTAGAGGAGTTGGAGAAGTGTGATATCCTTTTTGTATGAAGAATAAAGTTGGGGCCTCGGTGCAAAGACTTCTCCTGGTTCTGTTTCTTCTAGGATGGATTATGAAGGCGGGATAATAGCTCACGGGAGAGCTAGCCCAACGGGATGTTAAAAGAGATTCTGTCTTTTGCTTTACAGAGAGATTACAAGTTCCATGACATTCTGTAGGGCTACCTTTGCTCTCTCTCTCTCTCTCTCTCTCTCGCTCTCAGTTTTTTTTTTTTTCTCAGATATAATTTGACTCTGGCATTTAGTCCCTACAGGTTGCATGCAAGCGAGCATTGACAGCAAGTCAAAAGGTTTACAGCTCACACCGAAATTCTCTGGCACCCTTGGGGCTTAAATCTATGGAACTGAAATGCTCAAATGCAGCATCATGTCCTATGCTATCTGATATTATTGTTGTTCTTTTTTCCCTGTTTCCGTCGGGTATTGCTCTAGTTCTTCACAATACCGGAATCAGCAGGTTCAACCAGGCATGCATAAATTTTAAGTTTGTTAACTGAAACAAACAAACAACCGACATCGTACCATTTGCTTTTACATTCCTGTTGGACTTGATGATTAAGCCGTTGAAGGGAAAGTAAGCAGGAAAATGAAAAAGGAAAGATTGAACAGAAACCTAATCCTGCCTTAAACGTGACATCGCTTTCCATGGAAATCATGGTTAGCTTCTTCTCATACTCTCAATAATCATGAACTTAACCATCTAGATGGTGGCTAAGTGGTAAGAACTTGGAATTAAGAGATTTGCTCCCTCTGTGGTCTCAAGCTCGAGTCCTTGGTTGTTCATATGATGGCCACTTGGAGGCTTACATGGTCGTTAACTTCAGGGCCCGTGGGATTAGTCGTGGTGCGCGCAAGCTGGCCCGGACACCCACATTAATCTAAAAAATAATCATGAACTTAAATAATGGTGAGAGCATCTCTCAACTCTTTCAAGAAAAGTGACGGTACTTTTTTTCTCGATAAGTAACCATGGATGCTTCTGCTCGAAATTTATTTAAACAGGAAGTGATATATATAACATATCATCAAACTATACGTAACTTGGGTGGTATACCGGTATAATATAACTCAGAAGAAGAAATTGTAATAAAACATCATGTTAATATACAAGTCCACACATGATAAACTTGCATAAAAAGGTTTTTAAAAAAAATTGTTGAAACTTCACAGATCTGAGCTTGGATCTACAAATATTATGCAAGATCTGAAGGGATAAGAGGCTTAAGAGACGATATCCTTGAATGCTCTGTTAACTTCAACGACATTGTTTAAACCAGTTTTGTTATTATGGCAGAAGTTTGAGAAGCGTTGAGATTTCTGCCGACAATAAGTATATGGGAACCAGTATAAGCTTGTCTCTTTAGATGATTCCTCGGCTTGCTGATACACTGAGATGCAGGAACAGATGATATCGTGGTGTTTGTTTTTATGTTTAAAAGTGTTAAAAAAAAAAAAATTATTTTTTATTTGAATTTAATATTTTTTTAATGTTTTTAAATCATTTTAATATATTGATTTTAAAAATAAAAAAATATTATTTTAATATATTTTCAAGAAAAAATACTTTAAAATATAATTATTATCACTCTCTCAAATATTTCTAGAGATTATTTTAATATATTAATATTAAAAATAATTTTTAAAAAATAATAAAATATTATTTTAATATATTTTCAAATAAAAAATAATATAAACTCCCCACCCTTCCTCCACTCCAAAACTGGGGGTTACGAAACCATGCTTCATGATCTTAAGCTGGTTCTGCTGCTCGACGCAAGCCCCAGTGGCTCCCCTTCTCCTTTGAAAAAGGGGGGCTCGGATTCCTATACAAGTTCGAATTGTATTTGAATTTACTTCCGCAACATCCTGTTGAAGCTGTATCTAGAACAACTGTGGGAACTGTATCATAGCGGCTGGACAAAACGAGGCATGGATGTGAAAAAAGATGTACAAATATGATACATCTTAAGTACGAAACAGTTCATCCTCCCAAGAGAGAGGAAATTAATGGTCTCATTACCCAATCATCAAACCAAAAAACATATTGATGCTCCTCTCTTTCGTAGAGCAACTAAGGATGCACCATACACAAAATCATCCTCCTTGCATCAAGGCCTTCAACTTCTCTCCGAGCTCCAAGTAGCCTTGGACCTTGATAGGCAACCAAGCCTGCGCAGTGCGCAACAAGTAATCATGCATTATGTAATTAACCTGTTTAAATGTAAACAATAATTAAAAAGAAACGAAGCAAGGTGCTAATAAAAGAAAAAACAGCCAAAACCACGTCATTTACCCCCCCTTTCTTTCAATAATATCATGCGTATGGCACTCCCCATTCATGCTTCAATCTAAGACCCGGTGTAGTCTTCCCAGTCTTTCAAATTTTTTTTATAAATAACAAGGGGCTATTCTCAATCATCATCCCCCTAATTATTCAAAATTTGATACAAAATGCGTTCCCTGCAGAAAGGATAAAAAAGGATGAGCTCCTCTACTTCTTGCGTAAGTATAAGAAGCCAACCACCACTGAGACACCAGCAATGGCTACAGAAACTGTCCAGTATTGCTTTGTCAAATCCTTGAGCTTCTGGGTATAATCTGCTTGTTTCTTGGAGGAGATTTCAAGTTCTGGGATAACAGTGGCAGACAGATCAAGCTCACCAATGAAAAAGGTTTCTAATAGCTCTCTGGCGCTTTTGCTGTGCCCAGCATCTTCAAATTCATCCGTTGCATCTTTGCCTTCAATAACATTGCACAGTGTTAGACTAATAATTAATATCAATAATGCTACGTCATTACATACTTCTTGATATTTTTCACAATGCAATTTCAACTTCATACGATGAAAATGCAAGTAAATACCAGTTGTAGCAAGGATAACATCATCTCCACCAGGGTGCTCATCCAAATATGAACCCACATCATAAACCTGGTATAAAAAAACATTTTAGGTAAACATTATAGAAGAGGAGAAAGTCAGGAATTCATGTCTACTTTTGGTATGAATGACTTCAGTAAAGACATTAAGACCATGACTTCGTGTCTTTAAGAAGTAAGACATAATGATAACATTTCTTGATTCGGTATAACAAAATAGAATGTCAATTCAAGGACACAATCAAATTGCTATGTGATTCAAAAGCAAGGCAAAATAGGGAGTGATTCAAAAATAAATAAGTCTATAGATAATAAATTTAGATCTTTGCAATAGAAACATCAATGGCTACTCTGCATGTACACAACTCCATTGCATGCCAGCAACACAGGTGAAACATTTAAATCATGATGGTAAATCACCAAATATGGAGCATCTTTTACATGCTCCGAATTAGTTGGTAAAGTGAACACTCATGATGTAGGCACAAAAGGCTAGCAGCAGAAAGAAAAATATATACAAGCTGGTGTCATCAATAGTATCCAAGAAAGCATTTACTTCTAACAAACGCAAAGCATCATTTGGTCATATCACAACTGTTCCTGTAAAAAAAATAAAACAATCTAAACCACTAACTTGATGTTTGTTGCCATTATCATTATCCTGACACCATCAAATTCCACATAACTATGTGACGGCATGACTGCCCAACAAGATATCTGCATGTAACTTCAAACTAAAATTTCCTCGTTGGCTCAAACCCAAAGTCAAGACAGACCCAGCACACCCATGAGCAATCTCAGCAATAAAAAAGAGAGGACGAGAACAATAAGAAGAAGATTCACATATGAGAGAAAATAATTTTAGTTTGTACGGGACCAAGGTAAACCTTCCATAGTGCAAACTGCTGATCGCTATAGCAATTACACATAGAAACATCAAATTCGGCATGCGATAGCAATGAATTTAACAGGGACCATATATACTACATACAAGTTCATTCTAAGATGTAAGGAACTAAGGAAGATAACAGATGCCAAGCACCTATCAAAGATGAATTAGCCCAAATGAGAGCATCTAATCATTCTAGAGAACCTCTTAAAGCAACCAGACCAAAAAATTCAAATCACCCAAGGAGCCTTTATCAGCACAAACAGAGACATAGCATTACTGGTTATATAACTCAGCTGGTAAAGTCTAATGAAAGCTCAACTTCCGCCACCTACATCAAATGGGTCATGAAGTTACAGGATACGATAGTAAGTTCTCTTATACAAGAAAAATTCAGGCAGTAAAAAATGTAAAAGATGCTTGGTCAGTGGGCTTACATCTAGGAGGCAAGTAAGGTGCAACAAATTTACAACAAATACAAGTGCTTTTTATCTGTTGTTGTTGAAGCGGTGGTAGTCGATACAGGGTGGTTCGTTAGAGCACACAAAGCATTTCTAATCTAATCATTTTCCAACTGCATACTGCAACTAAATTGGGCCACCCAGACTACTGTTCCAAAGCATGCTAGCGACAGATGTTTGCAATCCAATTTTTATCAAGAAAACATGTGAACTTTTGGTTCAAGTCAAGGGAAAAAGTTTCAATCAGTTTAAATCAGAATACAGACCAAACATTTTAAACAGAAGCGAAGGCAAAGCCCTGCCAACCATTTGCTGTCTCTACAAATTCTACAGCTATTTGAAAATCATCCACACGAGTAGAAAGCCTTTTTCTTTTAGTTTTCTTCAATTCTTCACCACACGGTTCCAAAAGGAGAAATATGAAATGGGACATTCAAGCGAGTAATGGGGATTTGACTTCTCTTTCTTTTTTTGCAAATATAGTAAATGTAACAGAAGGAAATAGAAAAACAATCAATCCAATAGCGCAAATCTCAGTATAGATGCTAGTTAAAAAGTTGAATGTAGCAAATTACGGATTTTCTATACAGGATCCGTTTCCCATACGGAACAATAGTTACAAAGGGCATGTGCGTCCAAACACTCTGAACCTCATGGAAACACTCCAAACTATAGAACAATGAGGAAAAAATAACAAATTGCTCATCTAAATACTTAACCCTTAAGATTGAAATCGTATCACAAAACAATAGAGGTAGCAAATCCAGTAAAGTTTATGTAAGCATAATAAATACAGATTTACATCACTTTGAGAAAAGAGAAGAGGGGAGGATGCCAAGGCTACTACCTACAATTTGAGAAAAGAGAAGAGGAGGGGAGGATGCCAAGGCTACTACCTACCTTGCCATCAATAACGATCCAGCAATCTTGAGGAGTGTTGTGTTGGGCTGCCTCTTGCATCGTGTATAGCTTCGTCAGGGTCGGCATCCTGTTTCTGTTTCTACTCTTATTATTATTAGTCAAACTCTCTCTCTCTCGCCCTCTTTCTTGGAAAGGTTTTTCTTCTTTTTTCCAGATGGTCTTTCGAATATCAAACTTCTTGTTGAAATCTTCTGTTATTAGCTAGTAGTAAATAATATTTTATTATTATTTTTTAAAATTTATTTTTTATATTAATATATTAAAACAATATAAAAACATCTAAAAATTTTAATTTTAAATAAAAATAATAATAAAAAATTTTAAAATATATATTTTTAAAACACCGCATCTTGAGATTAAATTATTTTTTTGAAATATATTAAAATAATATTTTTATTTTAAAAAAATTATTGTTAATATTAAAATCATTTTAAAAAATAATTTTAAATTAAAAAATTAAAAAACACAGTATAAACACGTTTCCAAACCACTCTTAAGTGACAGATTTGTAATGATTGATCGTGCCACTGCTAATACAGCCACAATTTTATCACCGACCAACCCTAGCAACGACCACAAACAATTTTATCACCGGCCAACCCTAGCAACGACCACAAGGCAAATTTATCGTATTAGTAAAATTTTGTTTTTACTCCTATGATGGACCAATGGGCCTTGAGGGTTTTTTCTAATTGGGCCCACAAAACCTTAGACATCTGATGGAACTGTCTTCTGTCTTGGATAAATAAAATTTCCGACAAAAAGAAAAATATAATCATTTTCATCATGTCTTCTATAGTATATACTGGATAACCCTTGAGGTGGTTTTGACTTTTTAAGAGAAAAAAAAATAAAAAATATATTAAAAAAATGGAAATTTTTTTTTTTGCTTATCTGTAAAGAAAATAATTTATTGTTAAAGATTTTTATTTTTACTTTAAGCCATAAACATGTCCCTTACATAATTCTTGACTTGATCAACTAATCTCTCAAACTTGAGGAGATTAATGAAGAAGGTTTTTCAAAAAAATTATTTTTCTTAGTTATTTTTTTATTTAGTTTAGGAAAGTGAATATTTTAGTTAATAATTTTATTTTTCTAGTTCCTCAAGGATTTTTATTGCTTTTTAAAAAAAAATTCTTAGTTTTTTTAGGTTAATTATCCAATTTATTTAAAGAATTATAGATAAACTATTTGAAGAGTAATATTCATTAATAAAATTATAAATTAAGGTTTCATGTGATAACTCTATTCTGTTTTAATTTTATTTTTTTAATTGTTGTCTTTAGTATATTGTGTTTTACTGCGTTTTAAAGTTTGTGTGAGTGACTTTTAAAAACTCAAAAAAAAAAATGTATAAAAAGACATGTTTTGACAGAATTGAACAGACTATGCCGTGATGAAAATTCTAGTTATCTGGGCTCTATTCCAACCATTTGGGCTGGAATTCCTCAACAAGCTGGAAAAATTCCAGATGTTTAGGTTGCCCAAACGGCTGTAATGTTTTTTTTTTTTTTGGGTCCTATTATTATTAATTATGCCCCATCATCAACAGTAACTAAATCCTCTCAATGTATCCATGCATTGCAAGCATTAATTAGCCCAATATACTCCCTAGAGACAGGTTGGCGTTGTTTATTTTTGGTGCGAAAGGGAGGAGCACTGGATTGTGTGATTTTGTTGCCATTATAAGGACAAAAGTTATGCATGGCCAAATGAGCTGGAATTCCCGACTAATTCTGGTAAACCAAATCCTGTCAATATGTCCATGCACTGAAAGCATTAATTAGCCAACCCAATACATTTCCTAGAAACCGATTGTTGTCGTTTAGTCATGGTGCGAAAGGGAGGAGCACTGAATTGTATAATTTTGTTGCCATTATAAGAACAATAACAGTTTAGGTGCATGGCCTGGCCGATACATATATCGTCGGCTCTCTTTTCTTCTGTGTCGTCTTGAAATACTTGTCCAGGGAGACCCCATATTGCACCTCTAGCGAAACATCCGAGCTAGCCAAACAATTTGCAGCATTCTCTTGATTGTGTTTGAGACTTTCCTGGGAGCATCAATGGCAGTGCTATTGGTTCTGGCTTCTTGGTTTTTTGTAGGATTATCTGTCTGCTTTTACTTTGCCTTGAAATGGAATGAGATATGGTATGCAAGGAAAGGGTTGCCACCAGGGACAATGGGGTGGCCACTTTTTGGTGAGACCGCAGAATTTCTAAAGCATGGACCTGATTTCATGAAAAAACAGAGAGCAAGGTGTGATTTTCCCTGTCCAAAATTTCTTGTTGGGATATTAGACAGAGAGTTCAATCATGAAGTTGTCTTCCTTTTTGATGATCCACACGCAAAAATTTCATTGCAACTAAAAACCCAGTGTTTTATAGTAATTCTATCACGTCAGAAGTAGCCTGTAGCGAGCAGAGTACCTTCACTGATTTACTTCGTTATTTTGTTATTTAATAATTTAAAGTTTTCTTCTTTTTTTATATCTTCATTTTCAAGAAATTGGATGATGACGAGTAAGGGAGTCAGACCGTTAGATGAATTATTCCATTTAGGGTTTGTTAGTTTTGCATAAAATATTTTAAGGGAAATGTTTCTAGATTTTTCCGGAATGTGTTTTTAAAAAAAAAAAATTCATATGTAATTTTTCTCCTAAAATATTTTATAAAAAAATTTATCAATATAAATTTTTAAATTTAGTTTATTTATTATAAATATTTTCAACTCATGAAGTTACATAAAATATTTTATAACTAATCATCTAACTATTTTTATTATCATTTTCATCTTATCACCGCCTATTATTTTTTCTTTTAGGTAACCACCACCACTATCTCACCGTAAAACATTTTAATATTTTAAAACAATTTCAAACTCTTAAGGGTCCATTTTTTTCCCTGAATGGAAACCCCTTTTAACTGTTATTCCATTCAGAAACTGATCGCCCTGGTAATTTCTCTAGAGTGTTTTGGAGCTTAACAAAATTTAATTTTGAAATTTGATTAGTCATCATTCATCACACGTTCGGCAGACTTCGTCTAATAAAACTTGTTTTATATATATATATATATATAAATGAACTATTGTAGTGATATATTCTGCTGAATATGAGGTTGCAAATCTCTTTCTGGAATAAAAAAAGTTCATCTGCTAAGAGTTTCGTTCTTGCAACGTTTAAGTTTTATTAAATGTTGGGATTTATTATTTAATTATGGAGGAATTTTATCTAGCTGACACTCTTTTGTCTCGACAGGTACGGAAATTTATTTAGGACACATGTTTTGGCCTTCCCTACCGTTATTTGCACGGATCCAGAGCTCAACAGATATATCCTTCTTAATGAAACCAGAGGGTTAGTTCCTGGCTATCCTCGGTCTTCGCAGGATATTCTAGGAAAATACAACGTTGGTGTTGTGACTGGTTCTGCTCATAAATACCTAAGAGGGTCGCTACTTTCCCTTGTTAACCCTACCATGATCAAAGACCATCTTTTGCTAAACATCGATGAGCCTGTTAGATCCTTTCTTGCCAACTGGGAAGGCAAAACAATTGATCTCCAGGACAGAACCGTTGAGGTTTGTGTATGCAAGCTTTAATGTTTTGGTATATATGTTACTCTCCACTGTAATGTAAGAATTTCAATCTTCAATTGATGACGGCAAAACCAACTCTCTTACATTGAGATCTGGTCAATAGTTGAAGTTCAGGCGATTTTTTATAAAATATTGCCAGTATTGCATGACACTACTTCTGATTTTGATAAATAGATCGAGGTGTATTGATTCTTTTTTCTGTTTTTTGATTCTTTTTTCAGTTCGCATTCGTCATTGCCTTCAAGCTGATCGTTGACAGTCAATCGAGTGTGATTTATGACAATTTCAAATCAGAGTTTGATAAGCTAGCAGCAGGGACAATTTCACTGGCCATCAACATTCCAGGCACTGCATATCATTCTGGATTGCAGGTTCATTATTGAAGACTTAATCCCATCCTGTCACCGATTTTTTTTCCCCAGGTTACAGCAGAATTAACTTTTACATGTTGGAACTGTTGTCTTTACAGGGAAGAACAAGGGTTGTCAAAATGTTGAGACAGTTCATTAAAGAGAGAAGAGGTTCTTCAGTAGTCCACAGTGATATTCTTGGCCAAATCATGAGCTGTGAAAATCAAAAATACCATTTGAGCGATGATGAGATGATCGATCAAATTATAACAATGTTGTACTCGGGTTATGAAACTGTCTCAACTACTATAATGATGGCCCTTAAGTATGTCCATGATAACCCCAAAGCTCTCCAAGAACTAAGAGTGAGCCCGATATTTTAACATTGATCAGGCTTCAAAATTATGTCATCATCGTACTTGGTCATGAGAATTCTTTGATTTGATTAATTCAGCCAGGAAGAACATTTAGCCATTCGAGCAAGACGAAAGCCAGAGGATCCAATTGACTGGGATGACTACAAGGGCATGAGGTTTACTCGCGCTGTAAGCAATTTGAATATAATGAGCAGCACCACCCTACTACTTGGAATTTGAATGCACAAAATTTTTGTCTGAGCTTTTTATGGTCTCCTTCGGTGCAGGTGATTTTTGAAACCTCGAGGCTGGCTGCAGTTGTCAATGGTCTACTGAGGAAGACAAATCAGGATATCGAACTGAACGGTATACGTTTGATTGATGAGTCCTTGTTTCCTACCAGCATTAATACACGCTCTTGTATGTCCGTAAAGTAATGTTAGTACACGGAAATCTTCAGGGTTCCTTGTTCCAAAAGGATGGAGATTGTATGTTTCCTTGAGAGAGATCAACTTCGATCCAATCCTCTATCCAGAGCCTTCAACCTTCAATCCATGGAGATGGATGGTAAGAAGTATTCTCTAGTTCTTTTCCCTCCTATGTGACGCTCCGTGCAAATTGAATGAAAATTTCAGTCAAATGCAATGGCAGGATAATGGCTTGGAGAATCACAACTACTGCTTTATTTTTGGAGGAGGAACCAGGCTATGTCCTGGAAAGGAACTGGGCATGGTTAAAATCGCAACATTCCTTCACTACTTCGTCACACAATACAGGTTGGCTTACCTTGTTTTAGCAGTTTAATTCTATTGCTCAGCTCTCGACCGATAAATTCCTTCATTGCTCTCTTACCTTCTTTATTATTATTATTATTATTGTTATTGTTATAGTTAATGAGATCTCTTTTTTTCTGGTTGCAGATGGGAGGAATCCGAGGGAATAGAGATTGTGAAATTTCCTAGGGTTGAAGCACGTAATGGACTGCCCATAAGGGTGTCAAAGTATTGAAGGCCCGAAAAGAGGAAGATAAAAAAGAACACATATTGCAGGTGACACATTGAATAAGCAAAGCATGTGGTTTCATCTTAACATGCGTGAAGGTGAAACTGCTATGATATTGATTAGAAATACATGTTTTTATTTATCTTTAGAAAGTGTTTTTTACTTTTAAAAATATTAAAATAATATTTTTTTATTTTTTAAATTTATTTTTTATACCAGCCCATTAAAGAATATAATATAAAAATATAAAATATAATTAATTTTAAAAAAAATTAAAAAAAAAAACACCCTCAAACTTTGCAATGTAGGTTGCAAAACAAAAGGAAAATGAAAATGAAGACTGTACTGTTATGGGCCTGCAGTTTCCGCTCGTGTTTCATCTGTACTGCATATAAAGTAAATGGACTAAATAGACCATTAACAGCCCAAGAGTTTAAATAGCATGCATAATCCTCCGAATAGAGAGATTAATTAATTTAATAAACCAGCCCATGGCACTTTTTTTCTGAGACGGCCCCATTACTGCAATTGTAGATTAGTAATGAAGCTGAAGCCCAGCACGCTGACGGCCTCATTACTGTAATCGTAGATTAGTTAGCTGATGGGCGCATTAAGTATAGCCAATCCTTGTGGTCAAGTTTAAGGAAATGGAAATGGAAACTCACGAGCAAAGCTCCAGAGGCAGCTGGATGTGGACATTCTTGTGACCGGTCATGCCCATCAATTCACGGCTTACAAACACGAGGGGGGCGTTGTTATAAACCCAGGGTCCGCCGCCGGTGACTACGGCAACATTACCTATGATGTGAATCCAAGCTTTGTCCTCATGGACATTGATTGCCTCCGTGTTTTGGTACTATATGTTGACGAGCGCATTGATGGTGGGGTTCAAGCCGACAGGATTGGTTTAAAGAAGACGACTGCCACCACTCACTCTCCGTTCCTTGAATCTGCAGCCTGCAGGATTTTTTCTTTTTGTTCCTTTTTCTTTTCCTGGTACTGCATTCGGATTAAAGTCAAAGAGTAACTATTTGCAAGTAAAAACCGAGCTCTTTTACAAACCATGCAGCATTTGTAAAATGTATAATACTAATTCAACACCATCCCGATTTATAAGATATATATATTCACAAATTGTTTGTATATTTAACTGATTTTCACTTACTTTTTCCATTAAAAAAAAAAATGTTTGAGTGACTTTGCCATTTATATTCTACACATATGAAAAGAAGAACCCCTACGCCTCCAGCAACTCAAGCTCCCTTTTTTTTTTGTGTAAACATGTTTTTGAAAAATAATAATACTTTTATTTTAAATTTTTTAGGTCCCTCTTCTTTTAATCCCATTATTTTATAAAAAATCAAAATTAATTGGTTTTTAATTAAGAACTCAATCACAAAAAAATAATAAATATTAAATTTAAAAAATAAATTTTTTTACAAAATCCATCCATAAAAAGATGAACAATGAAATCATGCATAATTAAAAACTCAGGCCTTTTAATTTTACACTGGATACTTAATATTTTATCAGGTCAAAAGAACCTGAACCGTCTCCAAAATATTCCTAAAGACCAGGGACCTAAATGTAAAGATATTCTACATGAGCAACAGAGCTTTTTACGTTTTTACCCGTTGTCCTTCAGAACCTCTCTCCATATATATCGGAGACAACCTTAGGCGCGATACCGCTTTTCTTGTTGAAGTCCATTTGCGCTCTAGTCTTTTGCTTCTAGCCCGTTTCTCTCTCTGTAGTCCGTGCACAAAATGGCAGGATCTTCTGTCAAACCCACTCCCCTTTTGAAAGATGAGCTAGATATAGTGATACCCACTATTAGAAACCTTGATTTCTTGGAGATGTGGAGGCCTTTTTTTGAGCAATATCACTTGATTATAGTACAAGATGGTGATCCATCAAAGATCATCAAGGTCCCTGATGGTTTTGACTATGAGCTCTACAATAGGAATGATATTAATAGGATTCTGGGTCCCAAGGCTTCTTGCATCTCATTCAAGGATTCTGCTTGTCGCTGCTTTGGTTACATGGTCTCCAAGAAGAAGTATATCTACACCATAGATGATGATTGCTTTGTAAGCCGCCGCCCCCCCATTTTTCTTTCATATTTGAATACCCTCTACTGAATTATCTGCTTAATGAAGGGTTTTAGATCTAGTGTCGGTTTTTGCTTAAGTTGACTCAATTTCGGCCAGGTGGCTCTGGAAGGTTTAGTTCAGTAGTATCTGTTTCAGTTTTTGTGGTGTCCTGAATTATGAAAGACTTTTTATTCATTCCTTTTATTTGATCTATGGGTTATGGAGCTTGTAATATAATGGTAGATTTGGAATTTTTGGATCCTCTTTTTCATGGGATTCTGTGTTCCTGTGAGCTATATTTGGAGAAGAGATATAGGAGTGTTGATGGGATTTTGTGGTGTTGGTGGAGTATTGTACTTCCGGTTTGAAAGTCTGGATCTTGAACTTTATGGTGATTTTTTCCCCCGCTGGGTGTTGTTTGTGTCTTGTTGAATGTTAAGTGGGCCCATTTTATAAATCTTGATTGCTTTCAACCGCAGCATTTGCAGTTTAAACGTACAAGAATCGCTTTGCCATATTGATATCGGTCCTCTTGCTTCTTTAGCTAAAAGCATAAAATGCTGCTTGTTTATTTAAATCTTCAACACTGAGCTAGATCTTCATTGACTATCCGTCCGTTCACATAGAAAGGTTAGAATTTGAGGTCATGCTGCAAGATATGAAACCATTGGTAATGAGTTCTTCAATTTAGGCCTTGTTGAAATCCAAAAGAAGAATATTTTGACTGCATGATGCAAATCTGGTCACAAGGTCCTCTTCAGACAATGCCATGCTTTTTGCATCCTAAATAAAAGACTGGATATTGTCTCTATGCATGATAGAGGATCTGATAGCAAAATGGCATCTCAGAAAGCCAGTGCTTTTGTCTTTACAAGCACTTGGCTCGCTATGATGCCCACATGGCTCATCATTTTTCTTGTCAATAGAGTACAATGCTGATGGCATGTTTAATCTATCTTCTGGTAGCTAGCATTAAGAAAAATGAATGAATACAAATGTGATCACAACAAAAGAGAACGAGTAAATAGCTTGATGAAGTCCATGAACATGTTATTTTGATTAACCTATTTTTCTTGTGAAATATCTCATGCTTTTCTTATTTTCTATGTTTATATGCAGGTTGCCAAAAATCCATCGGGTGAACTGATTAATGCACTCGAGCAGCACATCAAAAACCTTCTGAGCCCATCCACTCCATATTTCTTTAACACTCTTTATGATCCGTACAGAGAAGGTGCAGACTTTGTTCGTGGATATCCTTTCAGTTTTCGAGAAGGTGCTCCCACTGCTGTTTCTCATGGCCTCTGGCTTAATATCCCCGATTATGATGCTCCCACCCAGCTTGTGAAGCCTCGTGAGAGAAATACACGGTATTTAGATGTCAACTGGAAGTTAAAATGGTTACATACTTCTTTTCATGTGATTAACAGTGTTGGGGATTTTACCTTATTTATTCATTTCCTTTTACATTTCAGATATGTTGATGCTGTTCTGACAGTACCTAAGGGAACCCTTTTCCCGATGTGCGGTATGAATCTGGGATTCAACCGTGAATTGATTGGACCTGCGATGTATTTTGGGCTCATGGGTGATGGCCAGCCAATTGGACGCTATGACGACATGTGGGCTGGCTGGTGCATGAAGGTGCAATTTCTATGAAATTTCTATCTCATATCATGACTTGTTTTTTATCAAGGTCTTGTTGATCGCAATCTCATCCAAACTACTTTTCACAATGTCCTGTGAGTGAGGAAATGCTAATATTAGACTTTGTTCTGAACTTCTGGGTATCTCAAGAAAATGAAGATTCCTTAGTGCTGAACTGAAACTTGAATCATTCTTCTATTCATTGAATACAAAGCCATGAAAGAAGTCCTATAGATCAGAGGCTTCTATGCTCTGAGAATGATTACATTTTTATTACCCTAATTCCACACAGGTTGCTATCTACAATGGTGGCATTCTATGTATTATGGATACAGAAATATTTTCTGAATGGTTAAACTCACATGTACTGTATTTACTTAATTTGTAGGTCATATGTGACCACATGGGATGGGGAGTCAAGACTGGTTTGCCCTACATCTGGCACAGCAAAGCAAGCAACCCGTTCGTTAACCTAAAAAAGGAGTACAAGGGTATCTACTGGCAGGAAGACCTGATCCCATTCTTCCAGTCTGCAGTTCTTCCCAAGGAATGCGTCACTGTTCAACAATGCTACATTGAACTCGCCAAGCAGGTCAAGGAGAAACTTGGCAAGGTCGATCCCTACTTCATTAAGCTAGCTGATGCCATGGTCACTTGGATTGAAGCTTGGGATGAACTCAATTCTTCAGGGGAAAAATCTTCAAAGAGTACCTCAAAGTAGAGTATTCAAAACCGTGTTGTCTGCCTTTTTAGTACTAAATCTGGTAGCTGCTTCATTGTACCTTTATCATGATGGTCTAGTCGTAGTCCATCATTATTATTTATTGCAAAATTTTCTTACCCTTTTGAGTTGAAGTTTGAGAGCATTCCTAGTGCTTAGCTGGGTGTAACCTTTTCTGCTACATTGCTATCAGCTTTAGATGATATCAGATTTGAAATTGAATTTTTAGCAATGACTCTACACTTGTTTGGAGAATGATTGTGATGACTGGCGAGTTTTAAAACTCGATGGTGGGCCAACAATTTGTTTCCTCCTTATGAATTTAAATTTTGAGATGATGAGATTTTTGGGCAGAATTAATTTGAATTGAAACTCGACAGAAGGGCATTCGGACTTTAACCAGTTGTTTCGTTAGGTGAAAATAATGACCTGGTTTTGGAGTTGGGCCCGCGTGCCTGAACAATTTCAAGAACTTGGAGCCCCACTAGTTAATCATGGCCCAGGCTGGCGTTTTTACCAGCTATCAAGGATCTGATTTCGTTTGGACCCTTGGAAACAATAGTTTTATAGAATTTTTTTATGTTTTAAAGTGTTTTTCAAAAAAAAAAATTATTTTTATTTTAAATTAATATTTTTTTGTATTTTGATATGATTATATTAAAAATAGTTTTTAAAAAATAAAAAATACCAAAACTGCGTGTTGAGAGCGCCAGGCCTGGAGAGGCAGAAGTTTCCTGTGAACAAGAGCGCACTAACAGGCAATCAAATTGAGATTCTTTGCGTGTACACAAGAAAGAAAAAAGCGATGGCTTTTCTACACTGCAAAAGTGCATTCTTTACTTCATATTTTGAGGGACCTGCACCAGGGCTTCAAAGGTCACTGTGTATGTGATGCTGTCCTCTAATTTTAGGAGAAAACACAAGTGAGCATGCTTCAAAGACTTTGCACAAACAGATTTTGGGTCATCCTAAAAGCGGCCTAAGGGGATTTTTATCAATTCAAAACTCAGGAAAAATACATCGATTCGGCTGAAGAAAGGCTTGGACCTGGTTGGTCGATCATATCTGCTTCTCTGTTTGTAACGTTTTTCTTGCATTTTTGGTTTTTCAGGTCGATCATAAGTTTTTGATTTTGCAATTACTACATCCAAACCATGTCCTCTCACGATCGTGAAAGGAGGCACTAATTTAAAACTACCACTATAATATCTGGTTCCATTAACAGAAAATAAATGCTAACAAGCAGTATTGTATAAAAAAATACTTCAAATCTTCAATCTCTGGAGGTTAAGACTTCACCAGACTGATTAATTTTTTTAAAAAAATTATACCATACAGAATTTATTTGGAAAAGCGAACTACTGCAAAGAATAGATTAGCAGAAAATAAATGCTAATAAGCAGTGTTGTATAAAGATGTTAGCTACTGCAAAGAACTTGTTTGCAATTTCTCGTCCCTTTCCCTTAACCTGTGATCTTGGCAAGTAGGGTAGTAGATCTGGATGTGTGCACGCTTCTGGGGATCGGTTATTTTGCTCTGTTCTAGAGGCCCCATTGCGGAAGCTTGGGGATAATGGGTTCTGTTCTGCAATTTCATTTATACTTGCCACCAGTTCTCGAATTAACCTCTAGACAAATGTATTTTTGAAACCAAAAACCTACATTTCTCATGCACAAGAGAAGGAAGTTTTTAAAAATAAGCGTAACCTTTCTGTATCTTTCCCAGCAATCAAGAAGGTATAAACAAATTCTAGTTACAATAACGAAGTAATCAGGAAGAGTCAATAATTTCACGAGTTGAAAGCAGAAGAACAACACGAGCCACTGAGATGCCAGCTTACTGAAAATTGAGGTTATGAAGTTGGATTTTTGTAACATCCAATACCGCCAAATGTAACTAGCGTGAGCGTTAAAGCATTTTAGCTACTAGGGTTAGAGACTTGTATTTGATGTGAGCCAAGCTTATTCAAGTTTCCGCAAGATGAATATCAGAACATGATAAAGGCGTTGCTACAGCAATAATTATTTGCAACAAATGCAAATTCAAAATTGAACTGATTTGAGGAAGGAACCAGGTTCACTTACATCTATCTTGCATGAAAATCTTTTTCCAAGGAAGGAACCAGATTCACTTACATATATGCCATCTATCTTGCATGAAAATCTTTTTCCATGCCAAGTCTTTGTGTGACGGCAACAATTCTTTTGAAATTTCTGCCACCCAATATCAGGAATTTGATCGGAACATGAATATCCATCAGTTGAAGTAATCTGCAGAAAAAGGAACGAACCCTAGAAGAGCTCTAGTGCTTCTTGTCCCCGGAGGCACCGTTATAGAGAGATACGATTGAAATTAATCAAAGACCTCCTCCTCCTTTTGATCCTCTTCCACTCCTTTTGCTTTAGATTTCGCCAAGTCAAACGCGAAATTATTTTGACGCAAAGGAAGAGAGAGGGTTTTAGTGGCGGGAGTGAAAATCACAAGTTCCCTCCACTGGCTAGCTAGATAACTTTTCCGAAACAAAAAAAATTAATTATAATAAGATAAAACATCGCCGTTGCCGGGGATCGAACCCGGGTCACCCGCGTGACAGGCGGGAATACTCACCACTATACTACAACGACCTTGTTGAATGTCTGTTCAACTAATATCTATTTATCTAATATAAAAACTTTTAAATCGATGTGATTCTATGACAAGTTATTTTGGTGAATGGTTTCGCAACAGCTGGCTTGAGAGCTTGCGGTTTGTTGGTGACATACAGTCGAAGTTAATTAATTGAAAAATTGTGCCCAGCAGCAAATGGTGATGGGAGCACGTGCAGTAAGGAAGAGTGATGTTGCGGCATCTTAATTTGGTGCCTCTATCAATCAGCCTCCTTTTTCTTTACGTACGCCAGGGAGTAAATTGACCTCCTCGTTGCCTGGAAGTCCCTGTGCTGCATTAATTTGTATCAAAAAATAAATAATCAAAGGCCTAACCTTCTCGTTTATATTTGTAATTTTACCTCCCAGTACCCTTAATAATCAAATTGTCCTTCTAAAAACCCTCACTATAATAAATATAGCACGACATTTTATCCAAATCAGTAGACTTCTTGACACTCTGATAGTCGTTTATACTCTCTTTTTATTAATTTACGAGACAATAAACGTGCTCTGCCTGTCTCTACATATATACTTGACACGACTTAATTAACACCGTGATCAAAGTGAGAACAGGGACTATATAATAAGAAGTTAATATTGCTGATCCATTAAAAAAAAAAAATCAATGTTGTTTTACATGGTCTCTTATGGACCGAGATTGATAGACATTATCAATACAATGTCAAAAAACAAACTAAAATAATTAACTATCGGTTCTATATATAATAGAACTCTAAGACCATGGAAATTTAAAATTTCTTTTCTCGAACGAATGTAATCGAGAATCTTATCATGTTAGGCGAAAAGAGTAACTGTACATGGAATGGAGTAAATTAGTTATTTTATCCGTGCTATGACCTGCCTTAGTTAAATATTTTTTTCTCTAACAAAAAAAGTTGTAATGTGCAAGCTTTTTCAACGTATATTTATAGTTAAAATAAAAATCTAGTTACATATAGAAAATTTATTCTTATATGTAATAGAGATGATTATGTATGTTAGTAAATAAAAATAATATTATTAATAATAAATAAAAATAAAACTAAAAAAATCAAGATATTCAATTTTGTGTGACGAGATATTTATCCAATTGTATTTGTTAAGATTGTTTATTAAAATAAATTTTTTTATTCAATCAAATGATAATAAAAATAGATATACATGTTAAATTTATTAAATAAGATAAAATAGAAAAAAATATTATACAAGGTTGTACGTGTTAGAAATATTATTTGAAAATATTTTTTTATTTTTAAAAATAAAGTTCATCTATATAAAATATCAAAAAATAAATTTTATATGAATTAAAAAATATATATTAAAATTTAAATGCACAAAAAATAATTTTTAAAAATATATATCCAAAAAAATTAAATAAAAAAAACAAAAATCATATATAAGTGATATTAACTGAAACATTAATTTTACATTTATTTTTAAAAAATACATATTATTAAAAAATTATCAATTAAAAAAATAAAATAAAAAATAATAATCCAAGTATTATGACTTCACTTGTGAAATAATGAACTCGGCCTAATTTAAATTATTTTCCTCCAATTGCATGCAAGTGTATATATATAAAAGAACTAAAAGAAGCTAGGCATAAAGATTTATAGCCCATCATGCCTGGGCATTTGCAAGGAAAAGCATAGGCACGTGGGTGGGCTTTAAAGCCCAGCCCTATGTGCCTAGATTTATTTTTTAAAAGGAAAAACAATATTTTTTATTAAAAAACATATAAATAATGTGTCATTTACAAGTTTAAACTTCAGCCACTATTATTACGACCAAAAAAAAGGTATTGTGTCTTTTACTATAAAAATTTAATTTTAAGTTATTTCAACTTAAAAATCTTATCAATATTTTTTAAATACTTACAAACTAACTCATTAATCAAAATAGAGTCCAAAAATCCAAAATGAAACCAGATTAAATTTATTTCTCTCCATTTAGATTAGTTTTTTATGTTTTTTTATGAAATATTAAGACTTCAAAATACCATGATCAAACCTATATCATCACACAAAACCCATGAAAAAAAAAACTCATTTTAGTTGCTAAAAATGACTTGAACAGTAAACTTCTTTTTCATTATTGGAATTCAATAACCCTTTTTTCTTTTTTTGCTCTAACTAAACTTAAAAATAATATAAAAAATTATTTGTACTAAAAATTATTTTTTAAAATATAAAACGATCATAATTATATAATTATGTTATTCATAAACAATGTCCATCTACAATAAAATAGAAAAAAGACACGCCCTTTAGTGTTTTTTCTAGGAAATAGCTCAAACATATACGGGATATAGTAGGTTAAGTAAGACTCATCAAGAGGAGGTATAGCAAACTAGACGATGGAAACTTAATCATACTCTAAGATAAGGGGAAAGCCTGATTTAACATGAACGGAATACGATAGAATCTATTGTTTTAAAAAAAAAGAAACAAGAAACTTGTAAAATCAAGGATCAATCTATGCTCCGAAAACAATATAATAACAACGAATAGGATAGAACTGTATAAAAAAGACTCTAAAAAAATATTCTTTGTTAAAACCACCTAATGAGAAAATTACTTAAAAAATTATGCACTTGCTCGCTCTTGGATCGTACTGTGAGAGGAATGCACATGAGATACAAATTTGAGAACTTCGAATTAACTGCCTAAAAACTAAAGCAGTGCTAGAAAGTGAAAAATAAATAAATTACAGGACAGTTAATGTTAGATATGAGAAAAAACGATTGCTAAAAAAATATTTGAAAAAGATGCAGACCTGTTCAAAAGAGTAAACTACTTTTGAAATGAAAAGGAGACAGAGGTTTGGAAAGGAGAGATCATATCAGACGATCAACATGGAAATGGAGAAGTCTAATCTGAATTTCCTTGAAGGGACGAGAGAGAGGGTGGCAATAGATCAAATGTTCGTGGCTAAATCCGTTAATGAACAGAACTATATGGGTGAACTGGTCTAGTAATCTGGTTAAAGAAATCAAAGGAAGACATGGGAATCTCGTTGAATGGAACCAACGCCATCCCACGAAGATCTGTATCGATCAGACTGCAACGGTAATCAAAAACCTAACCAAGGAAATGAATAACTATACATCGGTCTAAGGAGAGATCTTGAGGGCAATAGACACCTAGAGCTAGACGAAGAAACCCAGTTTATACCAGCAGAGAAAGGCGAGGATACCAAGTGTCCCTATAACTTTGTTTCCCAGTTTGGAAATTGAGGAATCGTCCCATCACATACAAAAAGACACAAAACCCATCTCCTATTTTGATTTATTAGGGCGAGGGTGACAGGAGCTCTAGCATCTGTCTCTTTCAGATTTCCTTGTTCAGCACTGCACCCACAAGAGATGGAAGCCATGCAGGTTACCCTCTCTTCACTATCTTTTTCACTCCATCACGCTTCTCTTCATGCTTCTTGGATGGACACCGCCTTAATTTTGTACTATCTTGACAACAGCGTACTTCGCTCAGCGGAGTTACGCAAGATCCTTCCTCCACTGATAATATGCCAGGTTATGTGTACTCGGCCACTTAATTTTGACTTACTCGAGATATCCTTGAGCAAAACTAGAATTTTACATCACACAACTTGACAGCAATTAAGAACTTGAAAAAAATTAAACACCATTCAAATATTTGAAACTTGAAGGATTTCAGCCATATATGTATATCTTTTCGATCTGGAATTCCTTCGATTATTTAAATTACATGTTGCAGTACACAAAAATGATATATATATAAAATAATGCTAGGCGTTGTTTTTGTAAGAAAACCTTATTGATTAAAAGGTTAAATACCCAAACATTAATCATGAAAGAAAGCAGTAAAGAAATCAAATAGAGCACTAACATTTTTATAACTGTGACCATACCTTTTTTATTAATTATGTTAATAAATGGCAATATTATAATAGATAAATAGATTGACCACACATTGTAAAATATTGCATCTTTCACACCTTCTTGGGACTCTTATTTTGACAGCATTTCAAGAGAAAATAGACCCGTACAAAAGGATGCAAATTTAATAGTTAATGCGTTGGAGATCCAATTTAAAATTTATTTTCTTGAAATTTTACTTAGGATACGGGATGTAGTTTGGTGATTAATTTAAGTCTTCCAAAACTATCTCCAATAATATATTTGAAAAAAAAATACCACACCACTTAATTTATGAGTTCTAACTTAAATTAACCACCAAACTTAGAAAAGGGGTTAGGATTTTTGGAACTTAAATATATTTTCAAAAAGTTGCAAAATAAATAATAATTAAAGACAAAGATATTTTCTAATTAAGAAGTCCCGTGTCAAAATTGTATATGTATGAAATCTCAGTTTTTATTTCTAAGATTTTAAGCATGAGAGATATTTTATTCATGTAACGAGTAATTAAAATACGATTAATTTTTTCCCTAAAAAGAAAATAATATATGTTATCATTGATATCTCAATTTTCAATTTTACAAGACTGGCATTATGTCTAGGGGTGCCTCATGGGGGACAAATGTGTTATTATTGACATCAAGAGAGGAAATGGGATAATAATATGAACGATAACAGAGAATAATCTCCAACATCATGATTTTCTTCCAGAGTTAATCATTGATTAGTGCACGATATATGAGCTAAAAAACTTTTTCCTTATCGATCCATTTTCGATAACCCTCAGGCTAAGCGTGAATGCCTGAGTTGATGCTCCATTATGCTTACTTTAAAAATTTTGAGCTCTTGCTTGAGGTAGGATAGATACATTCTTGAATTCGTGAGTTTTATTTATTTTTTTATTTAAAAAATATTTAAAAAAATTATTTTTTAAAATTAATATTTTTAATATACTGATGTTAAAAATTATTTTTAAAAAAAATATTATTTTAATATATTTTTAAATAAAAATACCTTAAAATATAATTATTATGACACCCTGTAACACTTAAAATTCACCGACTTTCACAATACAAGAAACTACTGCAAATAAATTTTCAATTATGTCATGGTGGACGGTGGTGTTGATTTTTTGCGAAACCAAGAGGCAGGAGAGTGAGTGGAGAACTGGTTCGACAACATCATGGAAAACCGCACCAACATTAATACAACGATATATTATCAAAAAACATTAATAAAACGATATATTTATATAAACGAAATTGTTGATTTGGTATTTGTTAATTATTTTTTTCGTCGGCTCTGTAAATAGCTATGATATATCAAGGATGGTTAATTTTTATGGATACTAGCTCATGATATAAGTTTTTATGAGTAATAACTTTAAGATTTTAATTTAAAAATGAAAGAATACTTTGCCAGCGACCAAATCTACCTAAATCTGAGGTTAATTGATTTGGTAATTGTACTATCATCAGCCTGTGACTACAATTAGTAGCAATAGATTTTCTTTTTGACGCTTAGCCATTTCTTTTCCCATTCTTGAAGCACCCCACTTCTTATTATATACTCACAAACCCTAGCCACAGACTTCTTGTTGCTGCCTCTCAAGAAACCCTCCGCTGCAATCAACCATCTCTACTTTGCAATCTTGTTCTTTCTTCTTGGCTGACAATGAACCTAGAAGAGAAAGTGATCGACACAGATGTTCTATCATCTGATCATCTTTCCTATGTCCGTTGCAACTTCTGCAACACTGTTCTTGCGGTATCATTTTACATCTATTCTTCTCAATTACCTCATGACCTCAAATAACTTTCCACATGCATTGAAAGCAAAATGTGGCTCTACGTTTCTATTACATGTATACTCTACACAACAAGTTCTAGTTCATTTCATGGGTGATTGAACATTTGCAGCCTAATAATAGCTAGATTGTTGGTGGCACCGGCGCCATACGTACCCCCTCAAATTTAATTTGAAGTTTTCTTTACCAATATTGTTCAATTGTTCAGGTCCGGATTCCATGCAAGAGGATGCTGGACACTGTGACGGTCAAATGTGGTCATTGCAATAATCTCTCGTTTCTCAGCACCAGACCTCCCAACCTAGGGAACTTCCTCGATATTGATCACCATCTGAGTGTTCAGGTAGATTTATATGACATATGCGATGTTTAAATTGAATACACGATCCCATCACCATCATAAAGTTGAATGTTAAAACTCTTTTTTTTTTTTCTATCCATTATAAATAAAATACTCATGATAAATCGGTAATCGCCTTCTTCTTTCTCTTGGATGATCGTACCTGACGTAAATTACATGCTAGATCTCTGCGGTAAAACTTTACAACATGCAATCGTGCCATCTTAAAATGAATATATTTAATTACTGTAGTTTGTAAGTAATTAAATAGAGAAGGAAATGATTTATATCCCCTTCTCTTAGGTGTATATCATTCTAGGGTTTTATTATGCAATAAATTAGATGAAAGTTATGAAAGATCGACTGTCTAGTACACTTTTTAATACTATTATATGAATATTTATACATAAAAAATACTACTTGAAACTTGATATGTTAATAAAGGTAATTTTATTTTGAGTTTATTTGATTAATAATTATTTAATTTAATTCAAAATATAATTGTTTCGTCAACAATTATATAGTTTATTAGCAATCATAATATATTTCAAGTTTATAACCTTTTTTTCATTATTTTTTTATTCTTTCATCAATTTAAAAGGTTTATAGAGTGTTTTCACACTTTTAAGCTAAATCTTTATTTATTTCCATTCCCAAACAGTTCCTCTAACAATTACGTGTATGATAGTGTACAGCGAAGGGAGTTTCTAGTAATGAAAAGTTGCTATTCAAGGAGACGCAAGGGTTTTCCACTGATTTCAGAAAAGGCGAATACTCATCCTCCTCTTCGACCTCTAGCGAACCTCTGGTGCCCAAAGTACCCTTCGTAGTAAAGCGTAGGAACCCCAACTTAATTTGGATTTGATTTGAATGTATAACAATAGATTCATTTAGTTTACATTTGCTACTTCTCCCCATAAATTTATATGGATTTTCTGTCTTTCTAATTTTTATTCATTTTTTGCAGCGCCTGAGAAGAAACACCGACTTCCATCTACTTACAATAGGTTTATGAAGTAAGAGAGAGAAGATATTTTTCTTTTTGAACACATGTTTCTGCAAATTATTGTGTGTGTGTGTGTTGCTAGATTAAGCCTCCTGCGAGCCTTCACTGTTTTGACGATGGAAATGTTATATATATATATATATATATACACCCAATTAATTTCATTATCAGTTTTGGGAAAACACAGTGCACACAAATATTTTTCAACATGTTTGTTAGTATTACAATAAATAAGTATCCTTGCCTTCGTACCAGGGAGGAGATACAGCGCATCAAAGCTGCCAATCCTGAGATACCACACAGAGAAGCTTTTAGCACTGCAGCTAAGAATGTAAGCTTCTCTTTAATTTGCTACAAGTTAGTATCGCTGCTCCGACGGATCTATCTTTGTTGGCACTCTGAAAAAAAAATTTGTTTTGCTATAGTGGGCTAGGTACCTTCCAAACACGGGTGCTGGATCTGGAGGCAGCAAGAATTAATTAATTCAGGTAATATAAATATTAAACGATATTAATATCTCTTTCCTGATCTTTTATATAAATACATAGAAAAATATGTGTTTTTCCTACGCTGCTTAATTAATTAGGATTGTTTGGCTGCAAGGTTGGTTTTTTTTTAATTAGGGCTTATATTTTGCAGGAATCGATCGAGGGATAGATGTGAAAAGGAAATCTGAGGCGTGATCAAGAGGGATCTAGAGAGCAGTTCGTTAACTAGGTCCTTGGTTTAGCTTCATGCCTCATACTTTCTAACCTTGTCGTTTTATTTTGTGTTGTTTGCTGGAATGTTGTCCTTAAAAGAACCTCTGCCTGAGAATTCGATCTAGATGGAGTCATATGTAGTAGTAACAATAATTACATGAAGTACTGGCTGTCTAATCTCTCTGTATTGACTTCAAGTACTTTGATTTTCATGAAGCATGGAGGCTAATAGCTTCAATTATGAAAACAATCATGCATTTCTTCAAATCATTAATTGATTATCTATTTAATAACATCAGTCACGGTAGTAAATAGGAGGAGGATAATTTTCTTAATCACAAACCCTATTTGCAAACGTCCTCAACTCCCAATATTGTTAGATAGGAGTCAGTTTTCAGCAATATCATTTGAGAAAATTAAGCTTGCACTGCATATTACGACATTATTTTAAGTGGTTTCATTATTAATTGATATTTTTATATAATCTGAGCAATATTATATTAAAGCCCTCGAGATATAAAAACAAAATACATGCAAAAGGTAAAAGTCATTTCAATTTAGTGTTTTCTGTGGGTGAGAGGAAATGGTTTTAAATTGCAATCAATTTTATTATTTTTTTTGAAATAGTGCATGTTTATAAATCCAACAGTGTAATGAACTCCATAAAGATTGATAATTAATTATGTAGAATTAATAATATGAAGATGCTAATTATAAAGTGATGAAGCATGTAATATTATACAAATATTAAGAAAAGGTGTACAATATAGTCGTCGCGATTGTTACTATTATGCTAATGTAATTGGTGCCATTACGGCCACGACCAACTACAAAGTGCTTCAGCCCATTATAAAAAGAGGTTGTTATTATTATGTGATCGATGAAAATAAAATAAAATTTGGTTATAGAAATTTAACAAATTTTCCTGGAAGATAATGTGTCCCAAATATTATGATCACTGAAGAGTCAATAGTTCCCTCTAAAAAGAAAGATATAAAAAAAAAAGTGATAGGCTGTTGTCTCTTTGAGACATTAACAACGTTAAACAATGTGATATGTTTGATTTTAAAGTTAATTTGAATTATTAATAAAAATATAGTTGTATTTTAAAAAGTTTAAGAAAATATCTTATTTTGATATTAAAAATATAATATATTAAATCAAATTGGCATCATATTTTAACCCCCAACCGGTTTCATGAATTTCTCTAGGGTTATGAGTTTTTTCTTTTCAAATTATTTTTTCACTTGACATAATTTAATTGATTTTGTATATTCAAACATAAATAGGATTACCAGTAAAAATATGGGAAGGTTTTAAAAAAATAAAAATGATATATTTTTATTATTATTATTAAAAAGATAATAACATGTTGACTCAAATTTCATAACTTAACTTATCAAGTTTGCAACTCTGTTTATGGAATTCACTGAATTTAATAAATGTATTTTTTAAACAATCTTTTACTTAGTTATATAATAATAAAAATAAATATTTATAAATTTAAGCATCAACCAAATACAAAAATATTTATTTAAAATTGAAATAACTTTATATAAATTAAATTAAAATAAATTTTTAAAATAAATTTAAAATAAATTAATTATTAAATAATAAAATTAAAAAACAATAATTGAAAAAACTGAAGTAATAACAATAAAAGAGGGACTTGCTTCATTGTGTGTAAAGAGGTGATTTCCCTAGAATATTTTAATGTGGCTAGTAATTTATAAGTTGTTTTTGGGTACAAATTTCTACTAGAAAATAATCAGATATTGCAGTCCTTGGCTATCGATATGTGTCTGTCTTGTTGGATTTGATACAAAACATAAAACATGATGTTGATTTTATTTTTAAAAAAAATATTTTAGAATTTAACTTGGTTATTGTCTAAGTAACCTAAAAAATCAATCTATCATCTAATTGATAGAACTAAACTCAAGTGAGACCTAAATGAATGAATTTTAAAATATTTTTTATTTAAAATAATTTTATTTTAGTTTTTTAAAATTAAAATCACATTAATTTGGAATAGATATCCTCTAACCCACAAGTAAAACTGATAAGCCTATAACTTAGATTATAAACCTAGTCTGATAACTATATCAACATGCATAGACCGTCAGCCGGTCCTTAGACCTAGTGGGTGACCGTCTGTTTAAGGCTTTTCGAGAAACCACGCCGGAGCTGGACCGTTCGAGACCCTACCAATTGGCTTAACACACTCCCCCTGAAGGTTATTATTTTATATTTTGGCAAGCGCTCGCGCAGGAGAGCTAGCTCAATCTGGTAAACCTTGGACCTAAAATACAGAACCCATGCACATGAACGCACTGGCTGCTTATTTGGACTGAGCTACCTTTTAGATTGCTGTCCAAAATTCGTGGCAAATGATACACGTTCCCATTCGTCACGTTAAAAAAGAAACAAAAAATTTGTTAATTGGATCCGCAATCCACCTTGTTCCGAATCAGTAGACGCAAGCTATCTATATATTTTACACCCAGAAACACCTCTGCGGACATGTTCTGGAAATCGAATCTTAACAGCGCGATGGACGCACAGTATAGAAGATTAAGCCAAGACTGAATAGTGTTAATTATTCAAGTAGATTAAAATATGGAACTAATAAGTAGTTATCAAGTGCCATTAGCATGCGTCATTAGGGACATCATTAGATCAGAGACCACCTTGTACACAATGGCAACACAAGTTGGCCTCAATTGTCTGGACACATGCTGTAAGACAACGGTTTTTTAAGTTCCTGAACATAATATTCATTTACAACGAAGACATGCTGCATCTAAAGGTCATCCTACTTTCGAGAACAAGTTGCAACCCTGAGCTTGGGGATAGTTTTTTTTATTCAATTCACATGACTAAAGAATTGCAGGAGTTATCATTGACCAAACTGATATTCCATCCCCATCACCAAAGGAGGAGGATATTTAATTAAATAAAGAACAAAGACATTAGTGGATCAAGTGTATGATCTCTTCTAATTAAAATATCAGCAGCCCTTTCTGTCGCTTCACATTTGCCCCTTCAAAATGCAAGGGGTCAATGAACAGTGGACAATTCTTCAATGATATACTTAGTTGTGCATAATTTAGCAATTAATTTCTCGACCAGCATAGTATTTGCAAATGAAAGTCGAAATATGTAATCTCTAGAGCAACCAGCAACATCAAACTTGCATCCCCTCACAATAATTGAAAATCCATACACTGTTCGTGTTATATATACCTTTTAAGTAATGTACTTGCAAACGCTAACTGAAGTCTCTAAGGGCTCATTGTCTATTGCATCAATGAAGTTAGTGATTATATTTGATGCTTGTATGCCACCAAGTCTCTCCTCTGCATCAACGCTGGATTTATCACTTTCTCATCAAGAAGGAGAGGAGTACACTTGGTCCAAAGAGAGAAAAAACACACATCTACATTATCCTTGCAATTCATTGCTATCTCCCACCACATCTTACGTTGTTTACCTTGGAAAGTCACAAAGGAGAGCCCAAGTTATTTACTCTCACACCCTATAAGTGGCACCAAAACTGCAGAAATCTTCATTTTCATGCTTCACTTTCATGGAGTTCCTCTGTTGCTCCACCCTCTGAAGATGAGATGACAGTTGAAGCCAATCCACAGTAGATTCATTTTCTGGAGAAACACAATGCTTGGCGTTCAAGAAATCTGACTGATGTAGAAATCCATCTGTTTCAACTTTAAGGTCGGCAGCATGACCAGAACCAGAAACCCCAAATGGCCCCATATTGTCAACTTCAATGAAATTCATTCCAAATGAATTAATTCCAATTGGCACGTACTTTTCTGAAAAGCCTATCCCTAAAGATTTGTTAGCAATACCCAAGGTCTGACAAGCACCACCCGCTTGACTGGCCAAGGGCCTGACCATTATATTTCCTGCAGAATGGCTCAAGTCCTGTGATTCAGCTGCTGACAGAAGAGAGAGAGCACAGCTAGAGTGCGACAGCCCAGCTAACTCATGAATAGCTGTTGCTGTGTTAGAAATAGTGAGGTCCTCAATGTCCAGTGGAGAAATTCCACAAGTCTTTTGTATCCTGTTGCCATGCAAATGGAGGAATGACTTTGGCACCAACTGCCCACTTCTTATGGGTATTGCCGATGGAGAGCTGTAAATTGAATTCTCTTGCAATTTAACATGCTTACGCCAATTATCTTCTTCATAACTTTGTGGACAAAAAGTACCTCCTGGAAGCATGTTTGGAAAAAGAAAGGATGTTCTCTTTGGCAAGGAAGTCCCCAGAAATTTGGTGCCTGCTCAATCCATATTATTGTCAGAAACACGATAACATATCTCTTAAATTTGAATGAAATTCAACAGTTAGGCAAGCATAATGTTTTTGAAGCAATAGTTACATTAGTAAAAAGATTAGCCTCAGAATATCTTTATACAAATAAAAATTGCATATCTACACTTATTTGAATTATTTGTACAGTCGGATTACTTAGTCATTGAACTAAGACGTCATTTAAAAAACCAAACAACAATAAGTGTCGGATTCTGCTAGGATAACTGAAAAAATACATGAAACAATGAAACATAAACCTGGATTTTGAAACAGGCCCTTTTACAGTTTTTGTGAAACAAGACAAGCATTAAGAGATGACCTAGCCTTAATTTTATCTGTGACGGATAAAATAGTTCAAAGAATTAGATCAACCATCAAAGAAACATGTCAGAGGAATAATGAAAAGATGGTCCCAATAAAATACTTTCAAGAATATGCATATTTAGTGATTATTAGCAAATTTGAAAAATTATTATAGGGCAAAAATGTCCACTCTCAAGGTCATAGACCTTTAAGAAGCATCATATGAAGTTAAAGAAAATTGGTTTTTTCTACTTTTCCATTGGAAGCAGAGAAGCTCATGTCTGTTCATTTGGCCTCAATGTAAAATTGAATTACGTTTCCTAAGTAGATTGATTCAAGAGTACGAGCTGTAAATACTTTGATATGGATGCAGTAGCTTATGAGGTTTGACAGAGAGGGTACCAAATTGAGGCTTTCGTCTACGTTCATTGTGGCCTGCCAGGCGTTTACGACAACTGCGCTTACCATCATCAAACTCAACCAGCAAGTGAAACCTGAATAATCCAAGATATCAGGATTCATATTAGTAAGACATTGAGCTTACTCACGAAAAAGGGGGGGGGGGGGAGGGGGGCTCCTTCATTGTTCATATTAGATAGGTAACATATGTTATGCCATGAATCGGGTCAAATTTTTCATGACATTAGACACAGGAGGATACTAATAAACCTGCCATATACTTGATGCATAAGTGTCTTCTTCTTTTTTTATCATACTTGATGCATAGTTGTCATGGCAGTTTAACCGACATATGCACTGAAAATCCAAAACCCCATCGCCTTGTGAAACTCAAAGCGTGAACTAATATCCTACTTTTATTCCATTTTGTGGTGTTATTTCCCTTTCCAGTAAACCAACAATCATCCATAATTATTCATGTAGAATTGCCATATTAAGTTCATAAATTACCTTATTGGTGACCCTATAAGCAAAGCGACACTAACAATATGGTCTTGACTAAGAACTGAGATAAAGACCATGATTGATCGGGAAAAAAAAAAAACTATAAATAAACCAACCTGCTACACTGCTGACAAAACCTCTGTTCATTGCCATTAACAATAACTCGAGGAGTTTTCGTATGAACCTCACAAACTTTATGCCTCTTGTGGTAATCCTTGGAGGAACTAAGATCCTTGTTACAATCATAGACCTGGCAAAAGGAAATCCGGGGGCGCAAACTCGCCACTGGAGCACGCTTTGCCTGAGCAGTTGGACTTGCTGAAGATAACAATAATCTCTCTTTCGAAAACCTACTATTCTGTGCATCTTTGCAATCAGCCAATCTCCCTAGCTTCAAATCAAATAGTGATGAATCCTGACTATTAGATTCCATGAGAGAATTCGAATGATTGGACCTAGATTCCATTGACGAATTGGAGGCAATCATACAATTAGCAGAGCCTACTACTAGTTTACTTGAATCAATACCAACACAGCTACCAACAAACATCCCCGCACCCGTTTTGCTACCATGAAAGGGTTTTCTTGGGATTTCAGAGAAACCAAGATCTAAAGACTCTGCACTCTCAAGCGCTTCAGTATCACATCCTATGGATGCTTTTCTACTTCTTGTAAATGCATCAGCTGATAAATCTATTTCATCAGAGAACAGAAGGCCTTTTCCTTCTGAAGCATAACTCCAGAAGTCCATCAGGAGAACAAATGTATAACTGCAGACAGTATGTACAAATGGAAAATGATTAATTTAAAAACTCAATAAGGAACATTTATTAAACATCTGCATCAAGGGAATAATAAAAAACAACAAGAAGAAAAACGAGTTCAGTTCAATTTTCCAAAACTCACGAAACCAGCAGACAAGCTTATAATTTATTTTGCGCGTCTGTTTCAGGAAAAAAGAAGTAGCAGAAAAAACATGTGAGCAATAACATTTAAGCATAAGAACATATTGCATTAGACATAAATGGAAACGCAACCCAATAACTGAGCTTCCTAGAATGAACGTCTCTCATCATTAGAAGAAAAAATAAATACATAGCAGTGATGTTACTGACAACGGAACTTAAAAGGGGAGATAAGAAAGAGGAAACTTAATGCCTATGGTTTCCGTTTCTTGTACGGGAACATAACTACATAAAAACCATCTCGAGAATCAGGCCAGAGATTTCTGTTTCTTTTATTTCTTTTACCTTTCTTCCTCGAATTTTATTTTTCCTTTCACCTTTCTCGGCAATCCAAAAAAAAAACGACATATATCCCTTATCAATCTTTAAAGCTCACCCTTAAACTAACCGAAAATTTCAACAGCTTTCAAGTTAAAAATAGCAAAAGAAACTGGGCAAGAAGGGGGGGGGTCAACTTCGGCTTTCAAATAAAAATAGAAAAAGAATAAGACATGGAAATTCCCATTTGAAGAACTTTAGGAAATGGGGTGTTGCCGGATTCCAAATTTCTCTCTTTTGCAACAGTTGCCTCTTGACATGAACAGAGAAACAGAGGGGGGCAAAGGGTTAAGGGGCTAACATAAACGAGTAAGTAGCCTTTTTTCTTACTTACCAGCTGAGGAATAGAATTGGGAGTGAGACGTATAATTTTCTTTCTTTCAAAGAAATAACGGAGAGGCTGGAGCAAATGCGCCATCACTGTGAGTCAACATGATTTCACAACCGCTACCACTACACTCACTGTCTTTCTGGTCTCTGAGGCATGTGAAGGTCTATTGTAGCCTTTGAGACCCTCTTTGTTATTCCCTTTTTGTCCACCTTCTTTTCATTTTATTCCCACTTCTTGTTTTCGCTTTTTGTTAACTACTATCACTGCTTAGTTAACTGCTAATTAATTGCAGTGTCTAATGTTAATCCTTTTATTTTTTATCTGATCCATGTGCTAATTAGCTGCTTCCTGTGCTGTACTGTTTTGGTTTTTTATTTTTAAAGTATTTTTTTCTTGAAAATATATTAAAATATTATATATTTTTTAAAAAAATAATTTTAACATCAACATATTAAAATAATTTAAAAACACAAAAATAAAATTAAATAAAATTTTGGGCGAATGGCCCTTCTACGAGGTATTGCATTTTTTCTTCACCACACGAACGAAGCAATAAATGGGAAATATATTTTTAATTGGAAGCCCCTACGCTGCTTTGCTGTTTCTCTTTGAAGCATGCAGCAGCAAGCATTTCTTTCAGCAAGAAAAAAATAATGGAAAAGAAAACAAAAGAAATCTGTAGTTACGACAGAATAATTGTTGCCAAGATTTTTCATATATAAGTATATATGATTATGATGACGAAGGGATAGATACAATGGTGCTTCCGTTGTCTTTTCAGGTATTATTTTGATCAGGAGAGTATTATAGCTGGGCCTCTTGTTTCAAAATTAATGTTGTTTTGCTATTTAATTCCATAGATTATTGGGATCCTTATTTTTTATTTGGTTTTTAGTAAAAATTAATTAAATTAAAATTTAAAAAACTGAAACTGAACCGAAATCAATTCAAACTAACTAAATTTGGTTTGATTTTATTTAGTTTTTATGAAAAAAATACATTCAAACCAATTTGACTTAATTTTTCTGATTTTTTTATTTAGTTCTATTTTTTTCTAAGTTTTTTCTGTTTGAATTTGGTTCTGTTTAATTTTTTTAATTTCAAAATTATAAAATTAAAATCAAATAAAATTGATTATTTTTTTAAATTTTAATCAGTTTTTTTACTGTTTAGTTTTTTTAATTTAATTAATATTTTAAATTTTTTACTCATTTTTAATAGATTCTTGTTGTTTGGCTATGACCGCTGTTTAATTAATCATCAAATGATACAAGCATCTTAATTGTGCAGTTCCTCGAAGCCCAGCAGTTCAAATCTTCCGTTAACATGAATGAGCTATTTAAAAATTATTTAGGATTACATCAGCAGATGTGATTTAAAAATTTTTTTATTTAAAAATATATTAAAATAATATATTTTTTAAAAATATTATTTTTAATAACAATACATTAAAATAATTTAAAAATAAAAAATTCAAAATTTTAAGAATTACGATTTCATTCCCAAAAATGCTCTTAATTCGTCAAATTAATCCATGTCTGACTGGCAAGCTACAGCTCAAATACGAGCTTAATTCCCCGTGTCAATACGGGGCTGTTCAGAGGAGAAATAAATGCACCCTGTGCACTGCGACTGTGGGGTCGCATGCATGTTCCGCTCCTTCAGTGCCACTGGATTGGATTCATCTAAGAAATCGCGGGGACATTTGGTTCTTTTTTTCTATCATTATTATTATATATGTTTGGGTCAGTTTGTGTAATTTAATTAAAATATTTGATATTTTATTTTTATATATAATTGTTAAAATTTTAAAAATCAAATAAAATGGTTTTTTGAAAACTTTGATACAGCATAGTGTGAATTAAAATCATAAAATAACTATTATGTTATTATAAAATCAATTAACTTGTTATGCTATTTTGCACATTTTCAGATTGATTTGGAATAAATAAATATTTTTATATCTTTTAAATATATTAAAATAACTTAATTGCTTGATATTCATAAGCTTTTTTTATTTTTTTTAGCACAATGCAATATCTTAGCTATCTTTTAAAAAACAATACCTGCTGTTAGGATGATTTCATAATTTCAACATGTTTTTTTTAAAAAAATTAAGTTGAATGGAGGCAATATTTAATAAATATAAAATATTATATTAAAAAAATAATTGTCACGTGTGAGTGAGAGACATTCACATCATTTAAGAGGTGCCTGAGACGTTGCTCTCTAGTTAATTAGTGGCTTTTAGAAAATCATTGAAATAGACCCTTCATCTCAAGGCATTACTCGGGATTTCAATGCAATATTCTTAAATTAATATATATTTTTTATTTTATTATTTAATATAAAATTAATTGGAAATTAAGTTTTTTAATTGAGTTAAAATTTAAATTTCATGGGTTACGAGTTTGAGATATTAACATATGTTTAGGGGATTCATTCGAGTTTACTTTTTTAATCTTATTTTTTTCAGTTTCATCATTCAATGTTTATTTTATTGAAAACCGGGCTCCGCTATTTTTTGTTTGTTTTCTATAGTTTTTTTACTAGTTTTGAAAATGACTAGAATTATCTCATGTTTTTTACTTCCTATTCTTTGTCAAATCTAGGTTTATCAAACGAAACTTTATATTTAAATTAAATTAGATTAAATAATAAAATATAAACATGAAATATTAACTTCATAATATTTTATTTGATTTGTTTTTCGGGTCATTGTTTTAACAACGTGTGCAGCTGTTTTTGGTTTCATCGTGCAATGTTTTACAATGATGTTAAAACTATTTCAATGACTTTTTTGTAGTGGGGTGGTATACACAGAGAAGCAATAAATGAGTCTCTATCAATCTTTTCTTCTTCTTCTTTTCCTCTTAAGTATGGTGCTAATAACTTATTTTTTTATAGTTAATTTTTACTATTTTTTCTGTTTGTCGTACATATATATTTTAAATTCATGTTATTAAGAGTCATGTTTTGGATTTTTCTTGTTCATTTGAAAAGAGTGTTTTTGTACTTTGGCATTAAAATAAGAGATAAAATAACACAGTATAAAAAATATTTAGAAAAATAACATGGTTTAGAGAGTTACCAAGCGACTTGCGAGTCACAAATGTCTTTCGAGGCTATCTCCAAAATAAAAAATAGGTGGACACAATTTACAATGAAAAGATAGGAGAAAGAGATGAATAAAGGAAGAAATAAAAAAAATCTCAGAGACACGCCGAAACTCTGATAACGACACTACTGGTATCATTGAAAAGATGAGAAGAATGCAATGATGCCAAGAAAGGTTACAAATAGTGACTAGAGTAGGTCACACAAGCTGTCCAAATGTGTCAAGGCTCATTTTTCTTCAGACGGCTTGTGTTACACACTTTGATCATTATTGGTGATCTTTTTTGGTATCGTTGGATTAGTCTCATCCAGATTTTCCCAATAGTATTGGTGATGTCGTCACTAGAGCTTTAGTGTGTCTTCAATTTTTTTCTCTCCTCTTCCTTCATAAAATTCAAGAAGGAGAGATGAGAGAGAAAAAATAAATAAAAAACCTCAGAGTCATGTCAAGTTATGATAATAACATCATTGGTACCGTTGAAAAGATCTTGATAAGACAAATTCAATAATATCAAGGAAGGTCACCAGTGGTCACAAGGGTATGTCACACGAGTTATTTGAAAGACAAGTAAGCCCTAACATATTTGGACGGCTCGTCAGATCATCATTGCAACCTTCCTTTGTATCGTTAGATTCTTCTCATTTATATCTTTTCAACAATATTTGTAGGGTTGTCATTAGAGTTTCAGTGTCTCCAAGATTTTTTTTAATTGTTTTTCTCTCTTTTCTCCTCTCGTCTCTTATTATTGTAAATCGTGTGGGTCTATTTTTAACTTTGGAGAGATTCACGAGTCACGGATATCACTTATGACTTTCTAAACTGTGCAACTTTTTCAAATATTTTATATACTATGTTATTTTTTTAAGTATTAAAAAAAAGATATATACTAGTAAAAAATTTAAATTTGCTCACCATATAGAATGAATCACCTATCCAATAAGTTATAAAGATAATGTTTGAAAACATAGTTGAAATCATGTTTTTTAAAAATTTAATTTTTTTATTTAAAATTAGTTTTTTATATTTTATATTTTTAAATTATTTTAATATACTAATATTAAAAATAATTTTTAAATAAAAAATTATTGAACTTCAACCATTACCTAGATACCTTCGAAACAAGGTTGTAAAATACTAGTACACGATAACTGAAAATGAAAAAGATAAAAAAAGAAAAGAAAGAACGTATCATGCTGGCAGTGACGGCTGCCTCCACTACCTCCACACACACACACACACACACAGATATAGATACATATATTTAAGCCATTGGTTCAAGAAAGTGGTAGGCAAGGGCAATTGCAGAATTGTGCACCCCTTGATGGACAATCAACTATGATTTAAATATTTGATTGGTTGTTGAAGGTGTGACAAGACCCCTGTACGCCACTTGTACCTCAGTTAAACTTACACGTGTCCCAGTTGCAAAAGGAAGACCCGATGTGGGGTTAGATTTGGGAATGGGACGGAGAGCCGGAGAGTGACCCAGCCTTGCTCTCTATCCTCTGCTGACAGGAACCACCAACTCCTACTTTACAAAGGACCATTGCCTGAATGCCACCCAGCCATCCACCCCTTCCCAGTTCCCCTCCACTACCATCTTTTGTCCATTCTCTGCAAACTGCCCTCGAATATATACGCGAGCATGCGAGATCAGACACTACATTTCATGTACTGGCTACGAAGAATTAAAGGCCAGAATTCTATTGGGTATTTCCCTGATCAAAACACACACTTTTCTGCCGTCGCCGATATTATTTGCATTTTTCTAGTCGAGCTTGTACGATGCTGACTGAGTTTTCTTGTTATAAAATCGAAACGTAGGGGACGAAATGCATCAAACGGCATACATGTGTGCCGCCCTGGAATTTACAATATACTGGTTACCAGAATGATAGAGAATACTGTTCCTCCCATGCCTAGAAATATCTATAACGATCCCGTTGTAACAGTGTCGATATCTAAATTTAAAATATTCAAAATCAGATTTTTTTAATGTTTTCAAATTAGTTTGCCGGCATCAATGCAGATATTTCGTCTCCATTCGGCAGGCCCAAGAAATTTCATCCCTTCCTTTGATTCAAACCTGTAGTGGTAACAAGGAAACTAAACTTATCTACAACGGGAGTGACCCGAGGTAAAACTGACGAGGGCGTTAAACTTTAATACATCAGGTAATTATTCTGGGATCGTAAGTGATGGAGACAATTAATGGCGAGATAAAATTGACAGATACTGCCAGAGGGGCTGTGAAAGCCATAGATGGGGTGCCGACAAAATCCTCCTCATACTCTGTGTGCGCGCGCACCGATGAAAGCGAAGGCTAATCTCTCTCTCTCTCTCTCTCTCTCGGAATAGTTTTCGTTGATGGTACAGTTGTGTTATAAATAAAATTTTAGCGTGACATTGAGATTTCTTTTCTTATTTTTCTCCTTTTTTTTATTGTACTTATTTAATATTTTTAAATTATTTTTTTTGGAACTACGTTATTTCACTAGCATGTTTTTTTAATGTTTTAAAAACCAAAAAAATAACACTAAATTCTCATCATTAACTTGCACAGGTCCTTACCATGACCGAGAACTTGGTTCGATGTCATTGTTCGTCCCTAAACTATAGCATATCATTTCACAACGGGCCCTGTTATGTCATAAAAACACGATCCGCATCTTATCTTATGCTATTATTTTATTAGAATTGGGCTAAACATGGCCCCTTCTAGTGGAATTGGGATTTCATATATGGGATTGTTGGTAAATTATTTTTAAAGAACCAGCATAGACAAAATCATAATTAATTAACTACTTTTTACTGTGAAACTGTAAATAAATAACAATTCCAATTCTCATTCTAAATAAAAATTCACACAACCGAGTTTGTATGTTTTAATTCTAATTTAACTTTAATTTATTTTTAACCGTATATACTATAAAAAAAAGTGTCGTTTCATTTTGAATTTTCGAGGGTCTGATGAGATGGTTGGGAACCATATTTAGCACTGAATGAGACTGCACCGGGTGCATACCATGGGTCTGTTTGCAGGGAAAACTTCATAGGTGGACTGAAAGAACCAAATTTGACCCGATCCCAACAACACCATCCAGTTGCTTTTCATGTGAAATAATGGGTTTAAAGCAACAAAGTGCCCTTAAAGGCTTCAACGGCATGCACTCTCGAGGTCTGAAAGCTTTTGCGAGGGGATAAAAAGCTGGGGACCTGCTTTTAAGGAAAACATGTCGCCACCACCACCGTTGAGCCCCGTCTGTCATGGACACCTATCCCTATCTGTGCTTGTACTTACAAGTCATTAAGAAAAGACATCGACATCAAAGCATTTTGGATATGTTTCGAATTGTGGCATCAAGCGTGCGTGGCAGAGAAGGGAAAAGAAAGCCCTTTTTTAACGGGCTAGCCCAATTCAATGCCGGGCTTCTATTGTAAAATAAGGACCCCCGAGTTGGGTTAGAAACTGCTATCACCATGCCTCTCCATTAAAGGACGAATGGAGTTATGAGGCTTACGCTGGTCATCTATGCAGCATATACGTGAATGCTGTTCATGGACATGGACGGTGGAAAATAATGGTAGTCTTTGGCAATGTAGAAATCAATATATAATTAATGTAAATTTATAGAAAACATCTTTTAACCTGTGAAGAGAATAAGAGTCCCAGCTTACCGATGCTTAGAAAAACTAGTGCCCGAACATGCAATTGGTGTCTTCTGAAGAGACATTGAATTGCGGAGCGTCTTCTGAAGAGTACTTTGCTGCTGGGATACTTGTGCAAAATGATGCCGACTAGCATTTCATTTTTTGTTGGCTGCAGGTGTTATGTTCAAAAGGCATTTACAAGTTGAAGGATAAATTTGCTGTCAAGCTTTTCGGCTTGTCCCTGGCGGCTAAAGGGTTTTCTCTGTATAGGATGTTGATGCAAAAGGATGCAGTTGCTGCTGATCTCATGTATAACTGGATTCTGCAGTGCACTAAATAATCTGGCGGTCCTGTAGCTTTTATCATACCAATGGCCAAACATCAAACTTAGTAAGTGTGACTTGAATTTCATCATCACACAGCAAATGGGTAGATCAATATTTCTTCAGGAATATTATCACTAGCTATATGTATATCCTCTCCTCTCCTCTCCTCTCTTCTCTTTTTTAATTCTACGGTGTAGGCATTCGGAACTTGGTTCGTCTACAGATCAAGTTAAATCACCGCACTATATCATATTTCAGGTATAATTAAAACCGAAATCATTAGCAGAGCCAGTAGTCGGTACCTCTAAGAGAAAGCTCTTTTCCCTCCGAACTTCGAAAAAGGATAACAGATTTGATTGTCCGCAAGAAAACTGAGCAGTTTCTGTTAGCTTTATCGATCTTGATTTGTGTGTGCATCAACTTTGTAATTAATTACTATATGCCTGTCGATCCTTTAGGAAAATCGCACGTACGTTCTCGGCCCCTCCATCCACTAGCTAGCTAGTGACCTGCTTTGCATGACCATGACCTGGCCCATCAATGCTCAATGCATCATTAACTCCTGCCTATAATGCCTTCTTATGAGCTTTAATCCTTTGGTGCCTCCTAGACATCATTCCTCTGCATCATTCTTTCTAAAGGCTATCCTCAGTATTCATCATCATCCTCTACACTCTAGTGCCAAGCTTGTGCCCTATATATTCGGACGCGCATGCATGAACACACACCCTCGCTTTTCAACTCGATAAGCACTTAAAAAATAAATAAATAATTTTTTATTTCAGCAAGACAATCTGCTCTTGAATAACAAGAACAATTTAATGAGTAACTAGATAGCTGTCGATAAATATATGATTCAATTTAATTGATAAACTACATACCCTTTATCTATTTAGTCTCATGAAATTTCTCTGTATTTTTTCTTATGATACGTACGTTTCTCTGTTTGTTTAATTATCTGCCCGCATCTTAATGCAGATCATGAGTAATTAAAATCTGTGCTATATTCCCTTGGCATGCCCTTTTATTTATTTGTTTTTTTCGACGACGCCTTGGCATGCATGCTCGATTAACACATATGCGATCACCTCATGACGTTTTTCCCTTTTGCTTTCCTTAATCAATGTAGCGTTAAAAGTTGAGACCAGTTTATACTAAATTAATCTTGTAATCTTAAATGGGCCTGGCTTTTTTTGTCTCGATTCTGTCACTAATGCTACAAAAAAGAATTAATAGAAACACTCTAAACATGCCTTTCCTTGCTGATCATTTGATGATTAGACAGAAATATATAACCTATATCTATCAATCTCCTAATAATTCGAGTTCAGTTTATATAAAGCACGATATTGGGAGGATTTATTGCTTCCGTACTGCACAGCTGTGTACTCTTTCCCTCTCCAAGCTGCTAGCTCAACCAAGCTCTTACTTTAACTAGGCACAGACGTTCTTCTTTCTTTCTTTCTTTCTTTCTTTCTTTCTTTCTTCTTCTTCTTCTTCTTTTTTTAAAGAAGAGAGAAAACATGATGAATGACAGCAGTTGAGTTATAAACTTAATTACCATTGATGTCCAAAAGTTAAAATTATGGTAGCTAGCAGTGCAAACATATGGCGATCTGATCAATTATATGTTCCTGATCCCATATTTGATAAAAGGTCCTTCCAGATCACATATATAGAACCTAATTACGCTACAAAATTCCAAATCCTTTGGATTCAGATAGAATCCTTGTTCCTAATTCAGTACTCTTTCTAATCTATAATTTCCTGATGTGATGAAGCTAGAGAGATCGATGCACTGTATGACAAAATAGACTGCATGGTTGAACTTAGTTATGAAGCTCCAAGACAAACTGTTAGTTGGATGGCTACTATCATTTGATGCTTGCAGGACATGCCTTGGATGAATGGCCATTTTCACCGGTAATCAATTTCCTTTGCTTTCCTAAAACACAAGAGGTTAAAAGGGGGCAGGATTATGCTTTTATCAATTATTGCTCCATGTCCAAACTCCTAAGTCCTAAGTCAAAAGGCTAAAAGATATAGTCCACGTGGGTTGATAATGCATGCTTTGTTTCTCCATCAATTTAGTGGAAAATCACTGATCATGGCACAATCTAAGGAAGCCACTACTATGGTGGTCTTTACACGAAAGAAAGAGAGAAAAAGAAAGACAAATAAACATTCCACACTGTACATACAGACATGAAAAGAAAGAAAGGAATTGAAACAGGAAGGAGGAAAAAAATTGAAAAGCAAGATCTAAGACATGACAATATGGCAATAATATTCTTCTCACAGCTTCTTATAGTAATATCATCAATTAATAACCGTTCAACAAAGGGAAATGCACAAAATATAATTCTGTCTTTCATAGGGTGCCATTTGAAATTGGAACTGCTCCTCTTTTGATGCTATCCATATGTGTTGTTTCATACACGGGCAGACCATTTGAGTAGATACCCAAGTCACAGTTTTGCAGTTCAAACAAATCAGAGCTTGAATCACTCTCAGCTCCATCATCCACCTCATTGAACTTCCTAAACTCGTTTTCCTCTGATAGATAATGTTCATCAACCCAAGTCCTGTCTTTCTCCAAATATTGGTTACCGCGATTCTTGGTTGTTTTCTGATCTGAAAACCCATCATTGACGAATTTGTATCTCTCCTCCAGCCAAGAGAAACCTGACTTCTTTTTATCATCCGATATCTCATTTTGGAAAGTTGTGGACTTCACAGTCCCATTCTGCTTTGACAAGGAAACTATTTGCTTGTGATCTGAATAGCTTCTGGACTCCTTGCAGCCCTTTGTTGGAGGGTGTGTATAAGGAGAGGGTGTCCTAAAACCAGAGCTTGAAGAAGAATACAAAGACTTTGTATCAGTTGTGCTTGAGCTTCTAAAGTGACTAATGCTGCTCCTCCTTTTCCTCCTTCCACTGGGGCTCTCATCATCATCTTTCATTGATTGTGTGGTGGACTTCGATTTCTTCTTTTTAGAGCTTGTTTGATTAAAGAGAGAATTCAAGAAGCTGGCAAGTCTACCACCGGGAGAGCTTGGTTGCTTGTATTTCTTCTCTTTCAGTATTTGCTTCTCCACTGTATGAGGCTGTTGATGGAGATGATGAGGTAGCGGATTTCTCATTGGTACATCTAGGCTCATTCTTCCTCCCCTCCAAGAATTCTTATGATCTTCTCTCATGATTCTCTGTGTGTAAGTTGCACCATTATACCCCGCACCTGCTTCATTGTATCCTGAGAAATACCGTGCTGCCTCAAACACATCAAGCTCATCAGAATTGTTTCTCCGATGCAAGGACTTCTTGTAAGGCTTACTAGGGTCTGATGAGAGTCCTGTGATGGACATTTTTGAGAACTATTGGAAGTTTTCGAACATGTGGTGTGAAAGTTGATTTTGGAAGTTAATGTTACAGGATATGGAAAGGTATTTATGGGAGGAGAATTACGGGAGAAGGGAGTATGGTATGTGTGATTGTAGAATAGAGAGAATGGGTTTGAGATGACTCAGAGTAGTGGTAGGGGGTATAGATTTATAACAATCAATCACTTTGCCACTGTCTATAACATTACATGATGAAGAGTGTTTTTGGAAGAGACCCATATTGATGTGAATTTTGTGCTTTATAGAAGTGAGCTGGGGTACGTAGTAAAGAAACATGCTTTTATCCTTCTCTTACTGTGAAAACTAGAGGTTTGGTTGGGGATGGTGGGGAGCAAAGAGCTGTGTTTCCTTGGATTCTAGGGTTTTAACCTGTTTTAGTGGGGATTGGCTTTCAAGTATGTTGGCTATGGTGTTATACATGACCATGCACTTCAACTGAATATCATCATTATAGATTTGGAGAATTCGGTAGATCCCACACTTCTTTTGAGAGCTTGGAAGTCACTCCATAATTATTCGGAATATTACATCATATGAACACTAATTAATCTCTTTAACTAAGAGGCTAAGACATTTTTGACTGGTGTAAGTTTAATCAACTATATGGCCCAGCGCAATATCTAGTTTGCCTCTTCTTTGTGAGAGTTGAGGTTTGAGTCTTTTAACAGAGGGGCCGTACACATCCCTGACCTAGTGGCTCCAATTCCGGGGCATGAGTGCCTGCTGGCCCTGGGTTCTGTGGCCAAAAAGATGATGTCTCCTTCATTACTTTCTTATTTGTCGCTTTGGGATTCAGGTGCTCCTTTGACAATGCCCTAACTAATCAGTACACTCCTGCAAGTTAAGAACAAAAAAGGTGGAATTAATATTTATATGGGTAAGATAATGGAGAGAGGGAAAATTGGGTGATCGAGGTTTGCAAATCAATTCCTAGATCACATGATGCACGGTGGGATGCAAATGCAATGCAAAAATATCAGTAAGAAGATGAACAGAGCCTCAAGGGGCTAGCTTGTAAGATGTTGAAGAATAACATGAAAGGAAGCAAGCTTGGGTCTGTATCACATCGTGCCTCGAATAGTAGACAAGTGTCATATAGGAACTAGTCACTCTCTCTACCTTCTCCCCTGTGATTTAAGCAAGCAAGCCTACTGACCGACCATGTTTCTGATCATTTATTAGGTCATGAAGAGAAGGAAACCCCATCTTTTAATCAAGACATAATTTGATGAATGATAATCCCTGTAGTAGACATCCATTGGTGGATCACAGTCAAGATAGAAATATTTCTGTCCAGCCACTTGAAAGGAAAACACAAGTTTCCTTTATTATCCATCCATGCCCTTTCTTTATCATGCATTCTATACAGTTGAGGATTTAAAAAATCCGAACAATAATCTAATTCTGTCGAGTTCCAGTCCCACCATCGAGGAAAATGAAAAATGGGAGTGACCTTTTCAAGTGTAAAGAGCTGGATATCATCATATGAAGTGTAAACAACTTTCATTCTTTCAAGATACTGGGTGAGTCCATGCAGATTTGGTCCTTTTCTTTGCCGTGAACCCATTACCCAGTGTTGAATACGAGGGGCATGCTTGTGGGAACGACCGTGTGCAGAGAGCCAACCGAAGTCTGCACACAAGGGGGGTGCATATAATATAGACGTCAATTGTCATCTATCAACCCAAACAACTCTGGGCCATTTGAGTTCTAGTTCGAGGTCATAAGCTGCAGTCAATTTTTAGATATTGAAACATATTAAGGGAAAAAAATAGGACGCTCCCTTTTTCTTAATCCACCCTTTGAGAATGTGATTCTTGCTCCATAGTTTTTATCCATTACACAACCTGTAGCAATCTCAGAGTCAAGTTCTACAACTTGCAAGGTTTTTGATTTAGATCACACCACGCGTTTGCTGGGAGGGCAACATATTGTTGCTTTTCTAGTACCGTTGTAGATGCTTCCTCCAATTGATAAGTTTTCAAATTTCCTCCAATGACTCTGGGTGTCACATGGGCCAGTGGCTTCTAGTTATAGCCAGGCCTGGGACCAAGAACTGGAATAGAGATGGCGATTTCAAACATTAAAGACTCTTTTAGAGAGAAATTCCAGATTTTTTGGTCGACCAATCGAGTCCATCTGATGCTTCGGCACATCAAATTTTAAATACTACTTAAATTCGGCAGTTAGAATCATGATTTGCAATTGAATTATATACGCAAACAGAAACACTTAACTTATTTTTCTATAAGAAATAAACAAATAAATAAAGTGATTGATGACTACATAGTCGATTACCTAAACCGTCATCCCTGAACCAAGCTCGAGAATGTATCAAAAATCAAAGATCAATGAGCTAGCGAGCACATACATTTGATATTTTATGTCGATGTTCATATAAATCATCTGTTACCCTGTGTGGATATTGCGATCAGGTCCAGAGCAACACCAAGGAAACTGCATAATCCTGATTGAACGGATGTATGTGGCCCGTTAGGCCATTTCTTACATTATCAATGTTGCTCTGCCCAGGGCCACTGAATACTTGTCGCTACTCACCTTATCCAGACATCTTCATCCCCTCTTGCAAACTGCTAAGAAATCTTGGATAGATTCATATTGATGTTTCGTTGCTTTCTTTTGTTATGCACCATGCATTCCAAAAGTTACATTCCATGGTCATGATTCTTTCATCAGGCCCATCTAGTCTCTTGCCCTATACATTGAAGGCCTTGCACCTTTTTCACCTGCAACGACTTGGCATGAACGAAAATATGATCCAAGAATCTGGTGCGGTCTGGACTTCTTAATCTGATTGGAAACGACAGGTAATATCCCCCGAGCTGTTCTTAATCAAAGTTTTTGTTCAAGTACTGAACCATCACTGTCCAGGGACGCCCTTCATAACCAAATTTAGGCTCATTTTAGCCCACCAGAGTCCTGAATTTGGAGGCAAAGGCCGAATCGGGGGGTCCCCTATAACCCATCTCTGTGCATGTAGCTGTGACAACACGGGGACAAGGTGGACAAGGCTGTCTTCTGAGCTCATCCACACAGTGAATATTAGTCAGATCGCTGGCTTGCAAACTCCAATTGCTGTAGTCAATTTTTATTTGATGATACTTGTAACTTTATAAGCAGTCCAAGTTCCTTACAGAAAATTAGAAAAGATAAGATAAGAACATGGTTTGGCGATGTGGACACATGAGGATGAGCTTTAGTTATCAAAAAATGAGGAAAATGAAAAATGTGGGGTGACATTTTTAAGTGTAAAGAACTAGATATGCAAACAGCTTTCGTTCTTTCAAGATACTGGGTTAGCCCATTGCAGATTTGGTCTATTTCTTAGCCGTGAGAACCCGTATCTCAGTGTTGAGGGCATGCTTCTGGGAACGAGTACATACGTGTGCAGATAGCCACAGAAAGTAGCAAACATGACGTGCACATATTATAGATGTCAATTGTCATCTATCACCCCAAAACAAGACGGGGCCATTTGAGCTCAGATGATCATGACAGTTATAGTTTGAGGTCATAATACCAAGCACTACGTAGACCGTGTTTTATACTTCGTAAAATTGACTAATTCTCAAATATCCCTTCATGACCCTGGGCGTCAAATAGGCCGGTGGCTTGTAGTTATAGCTAGGCCTGGGACCAAGAATTGGTATAGAGATGGCTATTCCAAAATGAAGACTTTCGTAGAGAGAAATTACAAATTTTTGGGTCGACCACTCGAATCCATCTAAGGCTTCGGCACCAAATCCTAGAATAACTATCAATTTAGCAAAAGCTTATTGGGAATTGAAGACAATGACCTAGAATAACTATCAATTTAGCAAAAGCTTGGGAATTGAAGACAATGATATCTTTGCCCTTTCTTCAAAAAATAATAATTAAATATCTTAGTATTTAGGGTATTTAAAATATATTAATTGTTCAAGAATTAATCAAGAATATATATATATATACACATGATTTAAAAAAGATAAAAAAGACCTCATCATCTCTTGAAAATGATGTCTGCTTATCATATAGTTTGAAAATCAATTTAATCTAATTATATAAAAACAATAAAAAATAAATAAAAAATAAATAGCATGATGTGTAACATGAGCTAATGTATAGGAAATGTTTGTGGTCTTTATGCGATGCTTGTTGATGATTAAAAATTATTTTTCATCATGTTGTTTGAAATGTTGTTGTATTTTTTTATTTAAAATGATGCGTGTTGATGACTGGTGGGTAATTTATCATATATAAGTTATTTGTTTTTTCTTTTCTTTTTTCTTCCTGAAAATTACAGCTTGGTTTTGTTTTTTTTATAATATTTCAATTTCAATCCTTATTCTTTTAATTTAAATTTTTTTTCATGATCCTCATATAAAATTTTTATTTATTTTCAATTTCATCATTCAATTCTACTTTGATATATATGTTTTTTCTTCAATTTCATCCTTATTCTTTTGCTTTTTTTATTTTTTTGGCCCTTTTATATCTATTTTTATTATTCATGTCAATTTTTATCTTCATTCTCTCTTTTTTTTGTTTTTTTTTATTAAATTATTCTTTCTTTTTAATTTCACCCTTCAATTAAATATATAATTTATTTTGTATTTTAATTTTAATCCTTATTATTTTAATTTTAATTTTAATTTTTTTGTATAATTAAATTATTTTTTTAATTTTATTTTTTAATATTTAATTGATTGAGAATTGAGATTGATGATTTTTCTAAATAAGATGCTACATCATTTGTCTTCTTTAAAAAAATATTTGTTTCTAAGTTATCGTGATTTTTTCTTAAAAAATTAGTTTATTTTCTATCATTATTTATTTTTTTATTATTTTATTAAAACAAAATTAATTTAGTCGTGAATTGTTTTTTAAAAATGCGTTTTTGTAACATGAGCATCATTTTTAAGCAAAACAAATTAGTTTGCCCCCACGTGTAGCTCGGGTACACACTAAGTTTTAAATACTATTTAGATTTGGCAGTTAGAATTATGATATCCAGTTAATTAAGTCACATACGTGAACAGAGACACTTGACTTTTTTTTTATAAAAAAATAAATAAATTACGTGAACAGAGACACTTGACTTTTTTTTATAAAAAAATAAATAAGGTAGTTGGGGACTTGAATTTATTAAAGCAATTACCGGAAAACTAATTAGTCAATTACCTAGACAATGATCCCTAAAGCAAGTAAAAAAGGCCTAAAAAATCAAAGAACACTGAGCCGGAAAGCATATATATATATATTTGTTGGCAATGTTGATGTAAATTATCTGTGCCCTAAATCAAAGTATAACATTAAAAAACTTTAAAGGTAAGTTAATTTGTTAAGTTTTGAATTTGTTTTGTAATAATTATAAGTTTAAATTCTTTCTAAATCACTAAAAATTTATATTAATTTTAGAATTTATAAAAGTAGTTGAGATATATATAAAGAGACTTGAGTACATTTGTTAATAAAAAGAAAAAAGAAAAAAAGAAAGGATATAACACCAAGGAAGGCGCATAAAACTGATTGGACAGCGTCCACATGTACTTGGGCCGTTAGGCCATTAATTTCTTACAATATCAATGCTGCCCTGCCCAGGGCCACTGAATGCTTGTCGCTACTCACCTTAGCCGAACATCCTCATCCCCCTTGCCAACTGCTAAACAATCTTGGATAGATTCATGTTGATGTTTCCTTGCTTTCTTTTGTTATGCACCATGCATTCCAAAAGTTACCTTCCATGGCCATGATTCTTTCATGAGTCCCATCTCGTCTCTTGCCCTGTAAACTAAAGGTCTTGCACCTTTTCACCTGCAAATAACTTTGCATGAACGAAAATATGATACAAGAATCTGGTGCGCTGTGGACTTCCTAATTTGATCGGAAACGATGGGTTATAATATCCCCCGAGTGGTTCTTAATCGAAGTTTTTGCTCAAGTACTGTCCAGGGACGCCCTTCCTAACTAAACTTAGGCTCATTTTAGCCCATCAGAAGTCCTGAATTAGGAGGCAAAGGCCCAATCGGAGGTCCCCTAAAACCCAGTTCTGTGCTTGTAGCTGCGACAATATGGGGACAAGGTGGACATGTCTTGTCTTCTGAGCTCACCCACACAGCGAATACTAGTCAGATCGCTGGCTTGCAAACTCCA